TAGGTGGATCTGAGGTAGAGGCTGCTGCCAGCATTTTCTACAGCCTCTGCGAGCAGCAGCACGCAGCAGAGCAAGCACCCTGTTACAGAGAGAGGTCAGTGCTGCTGATGGCAGGGTTTGAGTCTCTGCTTGTTATAGACAAAGGAGAGCCAGTGGAAATGGGGAAAATCAGTCCTAAGCAGCAGCCAGAGGGGCCAACTTTATATGAATTAGACATTGCTTCTAGAGGACAAACAGGCTTTCTGGACCCCAGGCTTCAAATGAGCTGTGTGACTCAGCCTTGGTGGATTTGAACGTTTGAGGAGGAGAGGAGGTTTTCTGCAGCACTCCCTGCTCTGTAGGTGCCTGAAGGTCTAGCAACAAGGTCTTGAAGGTGTCAGCCCCTGCAGCCCAGCCTGGCCACGGTGGAGGCTGGGGACCCTGCACAGCCACAGTGCACAATCACACTCATCTTCCCCGCCCCAGCACAGCACCTTGCACGTTGGCTGATCCCATCAACATCCCAAAGTTTGCATACCTTTTTAGTGATAAAATATAGTGCAGGTGTAGATAAAGAACTATCTCAAAATAGTTCACCCCCGTCCCTTGCTCTTGTGCTGTTTGCATGAACTTTCCTGCATGGCAGTTCATTACCCCGTGCACTACAGCACCACTGGCAGCCATACACACCCTCCTTTTGCAAACTGGACTAGAATAAGAAAACTGAGCCCTTACAGAGGAAGGATTTCTGCGTGGTGCTTCTGAGACTGAAGGTTCTCTCTATGGTTAATGCATCATTCCCCATTACAGTCATTTCCTCTGAAGTAAATGGGATTTTGCCATTATACTTTATGTTTATTGATATATATTTCCTAGCTGAATTGACATTCCCCTGTTGCTTTCTTTTTTCCTACCCTGAAATTGCAGGAAGCCAAAAACCCTTCAACAGTAATGAGTTAAGTTCTGTAGCATGCAGAGCTGTGTGCTCTCCCATTAAGTGGGCTGGGGTTAAAATGGGCACTATTTACATATTAATATGTATTCCAGGGCAGGAACACTAGTTCTGCTGTAATGTTTCAGGCAAAGGGGTCAAACTCTTGAGCTGGGACACTTCCTAGCAATATTGTGGTAGTTTAACCTGTGATTGAGTGGAGGAAGATTTTCCTTGTGACTTGACATTGAAGAGTGTCACAGGGAAGCATCTGAGGTTGAAGAATCAAAAAAATATGATTCTTTGTGGTAGCTAAAATACCCACAGTGCTTCTGGAAGACATTGCTATTAGGATTGTCTTTCCCCCCCCCTAAATCCTTCATCTCCAGACCTGCAGTTGGACATAGCATCTCCCTCGCTCTCTATTTAAAATTGCTATTATGTGTTGCTGTGCATTGTTGAATCAATTCCTTGTACTTAATCTCAGAAGCAACAGAAGTTAAGAGATGGAGGAATTGGGTGGGTCAAGGGGCTAGTAATGCTGCACAAAGCTTTTCACTTCCTATCTGAATCCAGCTGCAATTTTTGTATGACCAGAAATGGTTATTGTGTGATGCCAGTTTGGTAGATTTTGAAAAATAAGTTTTATTCTGTCTTTTTTTTATTTTCTGGTGCATCTGTCACAAAACCATTTCTGACCACTAGCTACAATACTACAGCCAACACCTGCTACCCAGCATGAGTAAATCTGAGCACCTAAGCCACAGCTAGTCACCTAATTAAGTGACCTGATTTTTTCAGGAGCAGAATACAATCTTCCAGCTCCCGCTGCACTCAGCAGTTGTGAAAATCAGGCCACTTTTGTAAGTGGCCAAACACTAGTTTCGAATACTCAACTTCTAAAAAGTTGATCTTGACAGGGCCTGGGAGCTGGAGCACCTGAAGGATGTGTCCTCTCCAGGGTCTGGCTGGTGGCTACAGAGGAGGGTATTTGGGAGGGATGTAGTGTATGCCCTGTTCTGTGACTAACCAGTGCCTACCAGTCATCAGCACCATTCCCAGCCCTAAATTTAAAAACAAAACAAAAAAAAAAAGAAAAAGGGAAAAAAAAAAGTGCCTCTCAGCTTCAGATCCCACGATAAAAATATACCTTGGCTTTATTTGCTTTATGCAGTATTTCCTCCTTGCACTGAAAATCAAATTAAAAAGGGAGTTTATTGTCCCCATGGAAGAAATAGGCACCTTTTGAAATGATGAATGAACAAAAGTGTGTGGGGCCCAGCCTAATGTTTTCTAATGCCCTTTGGAGGTCCTGGGAGCACAAAGACAGTGGAGAAGGAGCTGCAGTCAATTCCAGCAGAGCCCTGTTGCGCGATTTGTTCCAAGGAAACATCAATTCCTTAAGCGAACAAGTCAAAAAGGGTGGGTGGCAGAACCGTCTGTCCTGCTAGATTGTGCATGACTCCTTCCAAGATCTGCTTTGGGGTCTGGAGAGAGTAAATAATGAGTGACAGCCAACTTGTCTGCCCTCGCTGTGCAACAGGAGAAACTGCTCAGTTGAAAGCCAGAGCTTTATTGGGAGGGCATTTTTAATTCACTGCCTCGGATGCAACGCAGACAGATGCACTTCAGTGGCAATATGTATTGTTAGGAGAGTCACGCTTTAGTCATGTTTTAAAGAGCATAAACAACCTAGGCAAGAGAGGAGCTGAAATGAGCAAACACAACATAACAGCAATGGATGATGAAACCAGGGTAGGGAGAATCCACAGCTGACCATGACTTTGCTCAAGGAGCTGCCTCCCAGAAAAGGTTCCCAGCCTGTGCAAAGGAAGAGCTATCTGCTCTTTGCTCTTGCCTGAACTACTTTTCAAAGCAAAGCAGCGGCTGTTTTGCATAGTGCATCCGAGCCAGGCCAGGGGAAAGGTCAGTGAGATAAAACAGACCAAACTAGGATAGTGACCAGGCAAGGTACATCCTTCCAGAAGGCAGGTGCTTGGACCAGCACTCTGCTGATCTCAAATGAATGCTGGCAGACACGGGCAGCAAAATGCTTCAGGAGGAAGTATTTTCATAATCATGCATTTGCAACACAGCCCTTTTTTGCAGCATTATCTTTCTGCCTTCCTCTTACTCTCAAAATGAACAAAAATATGTATATTCAAGGGGTGGGGAAGCCAAAGGCAGAGCTGAAACACAGCTGAGTCAACACCACATGTCTACAAGCTGGTGGGTAACATTGCATATGCCCGCATGGTTATCAGGGTGCTTTCAAAAGTCATCACTGCAGACAAAAAGGGCGACAGAAGCACAGTAAACATCCTACACAGCACTATGGGCAGAAATAATAAGTGTTGGAGGGTCCCAGCAGCCCTGATCCTACAGCCACGGGTTGGACCCTGAAGTCATGAGCCTTTTCCTTCACTTGGACCCTCTTCCTATAACCAACCAGCAGCACCTTCTTGCAGCAGATAATACAGGGTGCATAGTACGTTGATCTTGTCCCTTTGGTCAGACACATTCCCTCTAACTTCAAGATGTCAGCAAGTCTTTTGCATTATTATCAAGTTGCAATATACCATATTTAGTAATATTAGGTTATGGCCTGAGGCCAAGATGGTGTAAACTAGAAGTTTTCCTGTCCTCAGTCAGATTTTCTGTCACTAACAGCAGGCAGCTCTGAGACATGGCGCATAACCCACAGAGCAAAAGGGAGGCAGCTGCTCCAGCCAAATTAACAACAGGAGAATACAGCTGGCTGTCACCTTTGTCAGTCCCCAGGCTGTACTTCCCACACTGAATGGCAGCCAGCAGAGCTTTACCTTCAATGGGAGCTGCACTGGTGCCTGAATGCATTCCCTGTTGTCTAACGCTGGGAAAGACACCTCTGACTACCAGTGCAGTGTGGTGGATCTGTAGGATGTAGATGTAGGATGTGGATCCTTTTCTGGCACTGCCTGTCTGTAGGATCCCTTCCCCTTGCCTGGCTTTGGGAGACAGCTGCCTGGAGACCCCACTGTTGCCTTCTACAAAGGCTTCTTGCTCTTCAGAACTTTTTCCACACACACCATTTTGCATGGGTGTGTGCTGAATGTGTGCTGGTTAACTAGAGTAAACCAGCACCCTGTTCATTTTTGCCTCTTTCCTACCTCACCTGTAGCACTAGTTTTAGAGCAATACTGCACATCTTCACTTAAGCAGGAAGCTCTGAAATCATCTGTTCATGGGGAATTTGCCTCCTGACACACAACTGAGGGCCCGACTTCTGCCCCATGACCCTAATGTTTCTATGCTTTTCTGCCTCTTTCATTCATAAATTTTGCTAAATATTTATGCCATTTGGCTTCTGGGTGAATTCCTCATTTTGGGAGTCTCTAGTGTTACAAAGCTGAGCTGACCCACAGCTGCATTTCAGTGCTGATGTCAAGTATTTGGAAAACACTATTATATGTCTACAAGTTAAACAGTACTGAGCTGGTTGGTTCTGTAACTGGAAAATTTGCTGAACAGAAGACTTGGGTCTTCCTAGCTGGAGAGAAATGAGATTTACAGGCATTCTGAAGGGAAATAGCAAAAGAGCACTTTCAATGTAGCAAGGACTGAAGGGAGCTAGCAAATTCTGGCAGGTTATTGTAACCTGAAATATCTCACAGGGTTTGTGCCCCCTGGTGGCATTTGAATTTTTCTTGTCCTCAGTGCTATTGCAATATCTGCATTTCCAGACCCAAATCTTCTGATTTTCATGCTAAGCAAATGACCAGCAAAGAGTTCATGAAATTCTAATAGCCAGTGCTTCACTATCCAGAAAAGCACCAGTCCAAGGAGGGAAAACCCAGAGGTCCATATCTCATACTTGGAACAGCTTGCATGACTTTGCCCTTCAGACTGTGTATGGCGATTTGACAGGTATCACATCCAAGAGAAAGCCCCAGGGCTGAGAGAATCAGCCCAGAAAACATAACCCACAGGTTTCTAAACACACCATTACAGCCCTTCCCCAGCAAGGACCCAGGCTCAAGCAACAGATGTGACTATAGCCATATAACCCAGCATCACTGAATTATTTTTATCTATTTTGCTCTCTCTTCAGACAAAAAGCACTGGCATCGACAGGTGGAAGAAGTGTTCAAGCAGCATGCGACTGGTTGGTATGAAGTAATAAATGTTAAAAAAAAAAAGTAAAAGAAATCAGTGAATTTAATGTTTAAGATTTTAGCCATTAGAATGTGGAATATTTCATCAGGGACATTATCTAAAAAGCACTAGCAAAATTAGTGAGACATTATTTAAGTGCTGTAGACAATCCAGAAACAAGCCTTGTCTCAGTGAGTTTGTGATCTCCAGTAATAGCAAAAAGATGTGAGAGAAAGGAACTGCTACTCTCGCCACCCTAGCACCTAAACAGAAAATAGAAAGCTGCCTTTTCAAAGATGTTGAGCAATTTCTAGTGCTCTCCTCCCTGTGTTTTGTACACCCTAAGTCAGAAAGGCTGAAGCAGTGACATGGGTTACATCTTCAGAGCCTCAGTCTGAAACTAAAAACCAATTTTCTGTATTACTTACTAGTGGTAATGGGCTGCGAGTGAGATAGTGCACCTCTCTGCCTGACCTGCCAGGGCTGATTTCTTCCATAAACGGAGAACAAAAGGGAGTGAGGACAGGGGAAGCTGATTTTGCTGAAAAAAAATATATGTCTGTCAGTCTAACAGTTCTTTCTCCCTCTCAGGCTGTTCTCCCATGTGGGTGACCCGTTCCTCGATGACACCCTGCCCCGAGAGTATGTCCTCTACCTGCGCCCCACCGGCCCCCTGGCTCAGAAGCTGTCTGAGTTCTGGCAGCAGTCAAAGCAGATCTGTGGGAAGAACAAAGCTCACAACATTTTCCCACATATCACCCTTTGCCAGTTCTTTATGGTAAACCAGAGCTCCTCTCTTCCTTGCCTTTATGCATGCATTCATGAGCAGCCCTTGCCAGGTCGTTATATGCTTCATTCAGTTGCTGCAGAAGGGTTTGTGCTCAGGGGTTGGTGGGGGTTGGTACCAGAATGGCCTGATGCCTAAGGCTTGCTGAGGAGGTAACTGGTTTTTAAACAGGTTGTTTTCAGGGGAGAGCAGCAGCAGAAGTCCAAATTCTCATAATCTCAAGTGATTGTTATCATGAGAATGATGGGGGGAGGCGGTTAGGAAGGTTACTTGGGGATAGTTGATCCTGCTTCGAGGACAAGGGAGGGGCAGATGATTTCTAAATATATCTTTTTCTATACCCCTGTTCTTTTTCTCAATGCATAATAGCAAAGGTAGACCATTTCCACCCACCCACCCAAGCCTTGCCTTGCACTAGAGAGCTAAGCATAGGCACAAGGAACGATTCTCCACTTGAGAAATGCTTGTCCCATTTCCTTTGGCAGTGTGAGGACAGCAAGGTTGATGCACTCACTGAAGCTCTGCAGGCCACCGTGATGCGGTGGAAATGCAAATTCCCTGCCCCTCTGCCTTTGGAGCTCTACACGTCCTCAAACTTCATCGGGCTTTTTGTCAAGGAAGAAAGTGCTGAGGTGCTCAAGAAGTTTGCTGCAGACTTTGCTGCAGAGGCTGCTGCTAAAGCAGGTGAGTGACTATGCCAGCAGCTACAAAGACCTCATGGCTTGGTCAAGGCTTGACCATTTTCAGAAACCACAGTTTTGATGGCATGGAGAAACAAAGCTCATTAAGCCAATAACTGATTTTTAAAAGTGGCCTGAAGGGTGAGAGCCTGAGAGGAACACCCCATCGGGTGCTTTGGGTTTCAGCGCTTTTTCAGTTAAAAGATCACCTCATACTTGGTCTCAAGTGTTGTCTCCTGAAAGGGAAGTTGACATTTGGTGGTTCCTTAACCTTTCAGACAGACGCTTTGTCTGCAAGGCTGAGCATTTCCTGCTCCACTTGCTACCTCAAGCCACTGCCACAAAACTTTCCTCAGCTGTGTAAGAGCTGTGTTTGGTTTTTTGCTCCATTTCTCGGATGTAGAGAGGACTCTGCGAGAAGACCCCAAGTGCCCTGGCAACCTAGGGGGAACCTTTTCAAATCTCAGTACCAACATGGCTGGCTCCGTTGGCTGGTCCTCTACTGCTTCTGGAGAGGGGAACCCATCAGGAACCGAGAGGGGAGAGATAACCAGAGCACCCAGTGCTCCAGGGATCTCCACGGGCTCTCTGGGTGTCCTCTGATTACCTCCAATTTGGAAGTCAGAACAGCACCAGAGGAGTATCATAGCTCCCTGACTAATCCTCCCACACTCTGTCGCTGTAGTACTCAGCCTGGACCAGTCACAACACAACCCGTTTAGTCCTTCATTATCACAAGCTCATCCTGGAGTTTAAGTGCATCAAGACATGGCAACTTTTGAGTCCCTGGGGTGTTTCTGCGCTAAGACAGGCACCCCATAACACCATGCAGAACAGCTACAAGTCTCTGCCCCTGGTTCAGAGGAAGAGATACAGACGTGTTGCAGATTCATCACACCTCTGAAATGCATTGCTTTCACCTGACACTGACCTAGAACTTCTCTTCCCTTTAGAAAAGGGAGGAAATGGCTGTTATCCTTACAAATGCACATTTTGGAAAGTAGCAACAAGCACAGAGACATTAGACAGGTCCAAGGACTGCTGCAGCCATGTGAAAATGGTACCAGTGTTCCCCTGTGCAGAACGGACATACCCTCCAAACCAACACAGTCAGAATCACACAGAATCACAGAATATTAGGGATTGGAAGGGACCTCAAAAGATCATCTAGTTCAATCCCCCTGCCAGAGCAGGAACCTAAACAAAATTACACAGGAAGAGGCATTTATTATCCCAAAAACACTGACCCAGAAGAAGGAAGCATCAATGGCTTCTACCAACCTTCTGCCCCTGCAACTGCTTCAATTCAGAGCAAAGTGGTTGTTTCTTAGGGGAAGCCAATTGCTGCATTGCAGTCCACAGCTTGGTCAGGTTATCATATTAAAGTCTCTGGGGGTTTTTCAGAGATCCAGAGCATATTTTTTCTTGCTGATCAAAAAAAAAAAAAAGATGGATGAGCTTGCAAAGCTACCCCTGGCTGGCATTTGGAACCAAGGCTCTGAATAGCTGCAATTTTGACTGAATAATCAGTCAAATTTAATTGCTATTTTTGGTTGAATAAGCAAGAATAAATTACATGCAAACAATGTATCCTGTGATATCCACATCTCCTGGAAGAGTCCCAATATTTCACACACTTTCACCTTTCTGCTTCCTGGAATCTTTTCCTAATAAGGGTTCTTTTTCTTCAGGATCACTTTGAATCATTATCATATCAATGTCTGTTCTCACAATTTTGGAGTACCTCACCCTCAGTGGGCAAATTGGTAATCCAACTAATGTCCAGGGAAAAGATTTAATCAACGTGCATGAACCTGTAAATTCCATGGGTTTGTAATCGCTACTGTAGGAGAGAGAACAGAGGAGAGACAGTAAAAATTAATATTTTTAACTTGTTTATTTTGGATCGAGCCTCATTGCTAATGAAAGAAAGGCCACCCCTTTCCTGGAAAAGTGTCTTTTTTGGCAGAAGACAGACTGGGTTCAAAATTATAATTGTTATCACACCATCCAGAAACTGTTTTCTGAATGCAAATTAGTTTTGGCAGTTTGGCGAGGATGCCTTGTCTACCACCCTGGTGTGACTCAGGACTGAATCAGACCATGAATCTCTAATAATTTGATCCAAGGTTCAACAGATATAGGGAACTCAAGTTTGACTTCCCCAAAGTGTTTTCAGAAAGTGCCCTACAATTTGTTCCACTTGAGCTATCTTTAAACATTCGACTCCCAGCTCCAGTTCAGAGGCGATAGACACTCTTACACCTTTGAAAAGCTGCTAATCTTGACAGTCGCTTGTTAACTGCCATCTTCTTGCAGATGTTCACGTGGAGCCCCACAAGAAGCAGCTTCACGTGACACTGGCCTATCACTTCCAGACCAGCCACCTGCCCACGCTGGAGAAGTTAGCGCAGAACATAGATGTCAAGCTGGGCTGTGACTGGGTCGCCGCGATATTCTCCCGAGACATACGCTTCGTTAATCATGAGGTAAATTTTTGGAGCCTGTTTCAGTCCAAAAATTAAAAGAAAACATGACCTAGCAGAGTCACAGGCTGTTTCAGCTGCATTTGCAGCTCGAGAGTGCTCACAAGCTGCAAGCTGAGTGAGGACTCCCAGGCTCGCTGCTGAGAGCAGTGCAGATAACACAGCACAGACTATACAGAAATTTCTCTTAGGTCCCACAAGGACACAGAACATGGATCTCCCACGTCCCACCCATCATCTTATCAAACAGACCATCTTGCCTTTTTTTTGCTTTTTACTCATACTGTCTAGACTTGCTATTTCACCCACCTCATTTCTTGGTTCTTGTGGGAACAATGTCCTGCTGGATTAATTAATTCTAACAATTACTCTCCTGTTAGCTCAACATGAACTGGTCTGATCTCTCAAGAACCAGGCCAGTATATAACCTGACCACTATCCATTTCTTCTGTACAGACTTGATATTATTATTAATCACAGCTTTTAGTTTCATCATGTAAGAAAAGTTTACCCTCATGACCTATATACTTCAATTACTCATATGGATTCTATAACTGCAGTATCTAAGTGTCTTAACATCGTTTTCTTAGTAATGTTGTTTTCCAACACAATATACAGGAAAAAATATATTATTTCTATTTTGTAGATTGGGATGTTGGGCACAGAGAAACCATGCACGAGATTAATTTCACCTCCCTGTAAAGATCCCCAAGTTAGACCTCTAAGTCTGAACCAGTCTGCAACTCCCTTTATACTGAGGCTCTGTGGGGAGAAACAGACACTTCCAGAAAGGGAGTCATATGTCCCACCCAAGATGTCTTATCTCAGGATGAGACAAATCAATTTCTGGAGAAGGGAACCTCCAGGAGGTGTCTGCTCAGGCAGCTAACTAGATCCCTAAGGCTGGGGTGATTAATCCCACTGAAGTGCACCATCCAGAATCAGACACACAAAACCTGTGGTGGAGTGGGAAAAAGTTATCTTAGTCCAGCACATGATACACCACGGAGTAAACAGATGCTAAAGCTTCTCAAGAGCTTAAGTCTTTCACGCACAGCACCCTGACCCATCCAAGGCCACGCTTCCCATGCATGACAGCTTCCTTTCCTATCCAAAGAGTCATCTTGCCCTTCAGAAGCTGCAAGTAGTCAACACTATCACCAATTGTGAAAGGAGCTGCTGATGAAAACCAGCTCACATCTTTGCATATCTAACTTCAGGCAGCCACGTGTGAAAGTTCTGGCCTTGTGGTGTCGGGTGACAGTGACTAGTTTCCATCTTCCTTTGAAGATACCACAAATAATCTAGGAGGATTAGTGAGCAAAGGGGCTGACAGCATCAGGAGATCAGAGCTGCTCAGCAGATTACGGATTTTTTTTGCATGATGCTATTGCAGAAGTTAGGCTTGGCCAGGGACAAGAGTGTGTTTGTTCTTCTTTTAAATGAGGGACTGCTGTAGCCATTTCCAAGGAGGGTTACTGACAGATATTTAACACGTCTGGATTCCTCATGCTCGAGTGAAGATTACAGAACTATACTCGCTGATCTTTCCTCTCGCTTTTAACTTAATCCTGTTCATATTAGAAATATAAAGAAAACAATGTGGCCACATCCCAGTATTTCTCACCTGTGCGTTCTCACAAACTGTTTTGAGAGCACAGTGTCGCAGATTCAAACCTGTTAGCTTCCTGACAGTGTCTCTGCCTCGTGTTGAAAAGCAATAGCAAAAGGGAGAACTGCTCTTTTAGATCAAGCACGAACTGCTAAACCAAAAATGGTCACTGACCACCACGGCTGTGTAAATTCCAGGTCACAATAAGAATTTGGTTCCATTTTTAACCAAATCATTTTAGGATGCATAGATTTAAGCACATGGTCATCTTTTTTTGCTTGCTCTAAAAAATCATCCCTCCCTTTCCCTCCTGGTTATCAAAGACAAGACTGGAATCAAAGAGGGAAGGACGAGTAAATACCTACAAAAGCTTTCCAACAGCAAAGAGTGGGAAGTGGCAGGAATTCCCTGAAGGTGAAGCTTTCCTGGATAAAGCACAAAGTGATGCATTGCAGGGAGAGCTGTTCACACCTTGCTAAGGTTAAAGGTCAGGTATGGAAGGGCTCCTGCCCAGCTCTGCTAAAGGTTCCCTTCCATTAACAATCCTTTCATTCATTTGTGCTTCTGTTTCTCTCCTAGACTCTGCAAGTGATCTATCCTTACACCCCCCAGAACGATGACGAACTGGAGCTGGTCCCAGGGGATTTTATTTTCATGTCCCCAGTGGAACAAACCAGTACAAGTGAGGGCTGGATTTATGGCATTTCCCTTGCAACTGGCTGTTCTGGGCTACTGCCTGAAAATTACATCACGAAGGCGGATGAATGTGGGACCTGGGTGTTTCATGGGTAGGTAAAGCTGCTCAGTCCACTTTCCATCACTGTAAAAAGGGGACTCAGCAGCTGTGATTTCACCTGGGTAAGTGAAAAGTCTCCTAGGGCCGCTGAGAAGGTCACTTGGTGGAAACGTACTGGCACACAAAGCCCTGTCTCATAAGCAAAGGAAGAGCAGATGCTATCCTTGTGCATGGAATTAGAGGACGATATGATTTATTTAGCTAAGATGATACAGCAACTATTACTCATAGGATCTCTGCTGCTGGTTAATAGAGCTGGAGCAGATGGCTGCTGTAGAGCCACTGCTGTGTAGACACCTCTGTGGTAGGACTAGAATCAGGAAGGTTTAAATTTGAGCATTAATTTGGGAAGCAAGATGTGTGTATAATTCCTTAGGGAAAAGGACCTGGGATCAGCAATGTTTCTTAAGATACTTAGCAAGATTTTCAGAAGTGGTTAGTTTCCTGCCTGTCATTGGCTTCAGTGAGAATGCAGACTTCCCCTTTTGAATAAGGTTATGCCTTATGCCTCTTGATTTTGACAGGAATTAGTTAAACAGCAATAAATCTAGTGCTTGAGGGATGGGTCTGGGTACTCCTACAAGGCTGTCTGCATCTCTAAGCACCCAAACACCTTTGACAAATCTGGAGCACAGGGAGCATTTTGTAGGTAAGAGCACAAGACGATAAGGAGAGGGGAGAGGCACGTTCCTGCCCGCTGCCCTTCAGCAGGTACAGAAGTTTGGTTACAGTCACACCAGAGAGCAGGTTAGTTACAAAGGGAAGGGATGGAGACACAGTAAAAAACCACAGAGAGTTCATATCTAAAATTTTAGTGGGTAAATGTGACCTGTGGGGAGGGTCTCTAAGCAGAAAGGGAAAGCATTTGGTAACCGATGTCAGCACAGGGCAGCCAGAGGAACTGACTTAACTCGGCACTTAACAGAAACTGATCCAACAAACCAAGCAAAACAGAGGAAACAAAGAGCAAAAAGGGCAAGCAGTCTTTTTCTTTGTGACTTTTCAGGTTTAACACATGCAATGTGGTAAAGGACAGAGAGAGAGCAGGCACAGGGCAATCGTAGCTTGCAGGCTGGCTTCCAGATGTGACTGCCACTGACCACTGCTCTTCTGTAAACCAGCCCTGGCTTAGCCCCGAGTCCTCTCCAGCCCAGAAGCCCATCAGGTAGGGACAAGCATAGCAAGAGATCACTCATTTACCCCTCCTGTCAAAACCACCTATTCTTTTCTTGCCTGCCCTCTGAGAAATGAACACCACTAATAAAGGGCTTTCATCCATACGTTAGCCAAACAGAACAAACCTATCTATCCTGAGTCTGTCACTACCAAACTCCAACTCATCTTTCATTACAAGGAAAGAAAAGAGCTCCAGTAACCAGAGCTTAAAGAAATTAAAAGCAAGACACATGGGCAAAGTCAATCAAAGTGTTTGTATGAAGATGGGACTTAATCCAGACCCTCCAAGCTGCAATCCAACAATATCATCCTTTCTTCGCCTAAAATTTGCCAGCCAAAAGGGTCTCAGGTCCAAATACAACGCAGTATCCTGCTCCAGTGGACCCTGCTTTTTTCTCTTACAGTGCCTGGAAGAATTTTGAGGCCTAGGGAGTAGCATGGGAAAGAATTACTACTGCAGCAGCAACTAAAGGGAAAGCCAAATGTTTTGTAACTCCAGCACCTCTGCCTTCAGACAAGCAAAGAAAGGAAATGCCCCTTCCCTGATTACCACTGAAGACTATAAATCATGACTTGGAGCATGCAATATGGAGCATTCATCAAAAACATTATTACATACCCAGAAATGGTCTCATTTTACACAACAGCTTCCCACAGGGAATATTAGGTTATAGAATGTCATGCAGTCCAAACAATACAGCAAGCAAGGACAACCTAAGCCCTACTGCTGTCTAGGCCACAGTATTCACGGTAGGATCCTTGTGGTAAGAGAAGAGCGGCACACAGATATCTTCATTTCATAGACGTGAAAGTAAGCATGGCAGTACTCACCATGACTGCAGGAGAGCTGCTGCAGTGCAGGAGATGGGACCCAGCTCACAGTGCTGGGACCAAGGCTGCTGTTGGCGAGCGATGCTGTGATCCCAGGGGCTGGTTTGTGTTGTCTCTGTGTACAAAGCCATGTCCTGTTTCATTCCTGCAGAGGATGAAAACGAAAGAAATAACAGCCATGGAGCTTTCCCTCCTAATCACAAGAGACTGCATTCTTCAAGTGAAAATCATGCATTATTGAGATCATCACGAAAATACAGCTCACTCTGGGCTGCAGCACCCTGGCTATACCACGTAAGGGATATGACAGGCAAAATACTATTCTGAGATATTTGATTGACTCTTTAATACAGCAAAATCAGGTTGTTAGTTCCTGCACATTTCACCTGAAAAAGGTTTCCCTGTCGCACTGCTCTAGCGAGACAGAAGTTCAACTGTGACCTTTGCACGACAGTTTTTAGGGCTAATATTCAAATAGTGCCTGAGGAGCTCTGCCCAGCACACAGACCTTCATGGCTAGCACTGTACAAACACACAACAAAAAGATGTCCCTGCCCTATAATAAGGTCTGTACCTCAGCTGCAGACCAACAGGCTGCCATCTCTAAGAAGACAAGTTTGATGAGCTATTTAATAGGGGAGAACAAGCTTTGCCTTCAGGGCAGTTACTACCCATGAAACCAGGTTGTGTCTTGAGAGACTCCAGGTCTGAATTTTTTCCCTATCTACTAAAAATAGGAATGGTATCACTTCTATTCTGCAAACCCCAAGGATTTTCCATACATCTAAACTACATCGCTGGCTGTGGCACATCCCTGCATGGTTTCTTCTCATGCCAAGGACTGGACCTGCTGGTAACAGTGAGGAGAAACATTCGGTTTCTGATCAGTGCTATAGGTTGGAAGATAATTGAAGATATATTGCTTCAGCTTTGCACACAACATGACCCAGATCCTAAGTCTGTGTAACCCATTCTTGCCATCCCTCAGTAAGGGTACACGAGTGAAAAATAACCTTTCTGAAGCAAGCACTGGACTCTCCTTAGGGGAGGAACTGGTTGTGTTTGTATTAATGTCAGGTGATCTGTTCCAACCGAGCCTAGGTGAGGACCTGGCCATAGGGATGTTACAAACAAAATACTTTTCCCCCTGTATGCTATCAAGGTGGAAATCCTCTCTTGGTAGCAGCAGAAGCTACTGGTGAGCTGAAACTACTTGGAATGAATCCAAACTACAGATCCAGTATTAAAGAGATATATAGATTTATATATGTACCTTAAAAGCTCCCCAGCAAACTGCTTGCAGGGTATTTTCTAAGTTGCCTTTCGTGCCTGAAAATTAGTGGGCTACCAAGCCAAAAGAAGAAACTCTACCCTCAGCACATGGAGCCTAGAGGAAGTGGGAAGCCCAGCAAAAGTACAAGTATTTTCTTGCCCCACAGAAGGCACAAAACCCAAGCACTCAAGACATGGGTGTCTCTGCACATACGTGTGAAGGCATACGGCAGAAGTGGGCTATCTTTGTATCTGTAGACCCAGCATCACTCTAAAGGGAAAACTTTTGGTGGTTCCCTGCCCTGCTTTTCCATGACCAGCAAAGCCAGAAATAGTCACCTCCTCTGCCCCAAAATGGATAGAAGTGCTGTAGATATTACACAGCAGTCTATTTCAGCTCCCCGTGAGATGCCAAAGCTATTCCTTGCCCCTTTAATAAGCCTGAGAAATCAGACTTGGCAGAAGTACCAGGGGGAGGAAAATCAGACCTAATTTTTCAAGCTATATTTGGGCCTCAGTAGGTTTTTTTCCACTCTGTCTTCCTCCTGTTCTGCAACAATGGCTGGTTCATTTTCCCCAGGGATCCCTCTCCTCTAGGTAATGATGACTGATGTGGCAGAGTACCCTTTTCCTACACAGAGCTGAGGACCAGCACTGTTGTGCCATGACAGAGACCTTTTCTCCAGCCTCTGCTGCAGCATCTCCATTCTTCAAGGGGCCTTTCCTGGCTGGGACATTGCCTCTAGGGACACAGCAGTATCACTGACAGAGCAGTGAAGGAAAGGCATCATTCAGAAGACAGTAGATGTTTTCTGCCTTCAGTCTCTGTTTGCCAAGCAGAAGAACCACAAAAACCTTTGGGAAAAGCTTCCAAACAATGACCTATGCTTAGAAGATGACTAAACTGAAATAGCTTCAGCGGTTTCTGTTTTCCAGCAACATCAAGGAGATACCACTGAAGACAGGCTGATGGCTCTCCTCCAGACACAGCAAGATAGTATGCCTTTGCCTTATCATCATTCACAGCAAATCCTAGCATCTATTAATAGATAGTAAAGCATTCATGGCCTTTTGATAAGGGCTTAGAGATAAAGAAAGTCTCAGAAATTGTGCAGCAGCTCCTGGGGGTAAAGGGAAGAGGGGTAACCAAACAGATCCTCAATAATCTCCAGGCCAGTGTCCTTAAAAGAACATCATATGGGCTGAGACAGGATGAGGGGCTGGAAGGTGAAAAAAAGAAGTAAAGACAGAGAGCTCAGGCTCAAGATCCACTTTGTACAGCAACAGAGATGTATCCTAGCTCAGAATTCAGGTTCTTCACGTATTGAGATACTCAGGTTTTCAGGTCAGTGAGGATGTGTCTGTGCCAGCTGCACCCACACTCCAAAGCTGACCACATGATATAGTGACAAATGTCTGTTCGTGCTCCCTGCTCAGGGCTTAGCTGCCCTGGGCTTGGCACTTGCTAATACACTCAGGAAACTTCTGGATCAGAGTTGGCCTTATCCTGCCAGCTGGAAGTATGGTCCAAGTGTACTTCTGCCTGCAATATATCGTGTGCATATATTCTGAGGAGGACAGTTAGAGATGACAAGTAATACTTCCCTCAGTTCATCCACAAAGCTCTGCTGCCTACATTTAACTCCTTTTCAAGATCCACCGCCCCCATTGCATCATACCATGCCTAACTCAGAGGTATTTACTGCCCTGACCTCTGATGCTCTACCTGCATTTGGGAAATGAGAGGAACAGTTCCTTGGCGGAAGCCCAGCCCTTGTTGAGAACTCACCATGAGTAAAATATACAGTTAGGAGAACTGGAAATGCTAGGTCAGGTCTGAAAGAGTAAGAGCAGGAGGCTGGAAAAGTTATCTGCTGCCAGTGGGCTGTGCCCACAGTGGCTGCTGCCTCATGCTGTTGGATGGGGATCAACAATGCTCTCCCCAGCAGAGTTGGTTCCCATCCCCACTCCCCTTTGCTTGCCAGCACTTCTCTGCATGGCATCTTCACCTGATCGAATAAGCCAGCACTCCAGTCTCATCCTTGCATCCTAATTCCACCCGATAAGCGTGGAAACTGCGTGGAAAAACCCCAACATCAGGACCAACGATGTAGTATTTTTTTCTTCTTTAAACTGGTGGAAATCACATGATCTCACAGATCAGTTCTTTACAGAAATGTAGATGACCTATTTTTGTTCCACTGGTAGAGGCACTCAGTATTATTTTAACAGATATGAAACCCCTCTGAGATTTTATCCTAACTAGGTGCTAGTCAGGAAGCAACATCTGACATATTTAAGGCACCGAAAAGTGCAAGCAACGGCAACTATTCCTGTCAAAGTAAATGACCATATACATTACCTAACGACGTTTTTTTTTAATGACTAAGCAAAGATAACCCATACAATGTAACCTAATCAGCAGAAGGTCACTGCAGCTTCTGTAATTGCCTGTCAGAGTTTACTCCCGAGGGTCTTGGTCAAAGTCCTTGAACGTCTGGCGCTTGAGAGCTTTATTCAGAGGGACCATCATTAGATAAGCCCCTTCAGGGAGAATGGGACCTATTATATCCCTTTGGCTACACTTAACAGGAAGAACTGCTGAGAATAAATTCCCACTGTATAAAGGAAACGGAATAGATAGCACTGAAAAATGTAGAAACATCAACCCAGAGTGAATATGCCATGTCCCTACCAGGGGATACAAGCTATTTTGTGCACAGGAGCCCTGAAAACTGCCCAGCACGAGAGGCAGGGCTGTGCTCCAGCTTTCTACTGAAGGAATAGCTTATGCTACAAAGGTGAGTGAAAACTCCCTGTAGCTATTAGTTTCCAAACTCTGGTCCACAAGACTGTGATAAGTAATGTGCAGCTGGTCCACAGATGGTGCCAGTGAGCATCCTGTGGCTGGGAGGAAGGTCTTGGCATTTTCCATGAGAATATTTGAGTGCTGACAGAACCTCACAGACCAAAGTTTGGGAATGTTGTTCCGTGAAACTGTTACTAAGGAAACAGAAAGCCTGTTGAGATGGGATTTGTCTCTTCATGTGTGTACATCACCTAGCAAGGTGCTGTCTAGGCAGCACTAAAATACAAATAATAATGTAATAACATGACAACAGTAATTATCATCAGTTCTTGAAGACTATAGAAATGTCCTCACTGCAGCCAGAGCACACAAAGTCCAAAGCATTCCCAAAGACATCTTTCTATTTTTGGCAGATCCTACTCCATTCTGAATACTGCATCTTCCCCGTCCCTTCAAGCCTTCACTGATGGAGCTCTGGAAAGAAGACAGCAGGAAGATCAAGGACCTGGGGATGCAGGGCCACTCACTATCATCTGCCAGAATGTGCAGGTATGGACCCACACGTGCATACAAATCACACACAGTTTTATTGGCAAGTCTTCAGCAACTGGGTTTTCCCCAACAACTTATCCTCTGGTCTCCTTTCTGCCAGCATCAGAAATTACAAGTTAAAGTTCTTTACAAGCTTTTGAATTACATGATTAACCACAGGCACAGAAGACATGGCTGTCCTCAAACCTGCTCTTAGAATGGGGCAGCAGTGCCCCATCCTCTGCTCAATTAGCAGCTTTATACCAGCGTGAATTTACCAACTTCAGAGGAGTTCCCTGTACCCACATTTGCCTGAGAGTGAAGCGAGAGGTGCCTGGTCCTGACTCCCATCAGTAAATCAGATCTCAGAAAAACCCTTCCACTTCCATGAAGGTCAAGCATGCTGTAATTTTTCTTCCAGCCCCTGAGAATTACCAGCCAGCCAGGGCCCCAGAAACGCTGCCTGTTTGTCTGCAGACACGGGGAAAGGATGGATGTCGTTTTTGGGAAGTACTGGTTGTCACAGTGTTTTGATGCCAAAGGTGAGTTGGCTCCCATGGGTCACTTAGGCTCGAGGTTTAGATGAAGGAAGGAGAGTGGCAAGTGCCTGAGGCAAAGCTTAGATGGAAGCTGTGGTTTCCTAACACAAAGTGTGGCAGAGTGGCAGAAAACCTGGGTGCAGAGCACAGTGATGCTAAGGCTGCAGTCAGGAGCAGAAACACAAACCATGGACTAAATACTACATTTGATAATATTTGGGAAACTATTGCAAGAAAACCTTCCATTAACACTGCCAAAGAGCATTTTCATTTGGAAATGAAGTCATGATAACGGTAGTCAGTGTCCAGTGCAAACATCTACTATCTCCACCTGACTCTCAGTCCTAAAGGAAAACAACACCCTTACAGGTACAGTTCAAAGTGCCTTTTGGGGCATAAATTGGAGTTTGAAACCCAGTAATATGCTTGAGTTTCAAACCACAGTTAACAGGCTATAACTTCAGTCTCTCTTAGACTCAGAGCTAATTGGAAATTTATCAAAAGTCTTTATTAAAAAAATGCCAATATCTTGTAGCCAAAATCATTGGGAAAAAGGATAATTTTACAACTACTTTCTTTATAAATTATGTTTGAAGGGCTCTGACGTTTTAGCCTTCTGTAGAGGTGTAACATCTGAAGTTTCATTTGTTGTGGGATAGAAATGACGTTCCTTTGAGGTATTAAATCTGTTATAAAGATAACTTTAAAAACATTAGCATCGCTCTCTGCTGATTTTGAACCGATACTTAATTTTCTCAGATTCCTGACATTTTTCCATGGGAAAAACTGCTCGACAAGCCAGGTCTAGGCAGCACCTGCTAGATGTGGAGGTTGTGGTGAAAGAGGGTAGAAACAGGTGTGATTCTCTCTGCTGCCTTCTGATCAATTCCAGCAACTGCTTCTAACCTTTCCCTCACAGGAAGGTACATGCGTAGTAACCTGAATATGCCTCACAGCTTACCTCACAGAAGCGGCGGTTTCAGGGATTATGAAAAAGACGCGCCAATCACCGTCCTGGGCTGTACGCAGGCAAGGCTTGTTGGTAAGTTGTCCTCAGCAAACAAGACCTTGCCCAGGAAGCTTTGCTATCTTCCTCCCCACACACTCAGACAGAGAAAGAGAAAGTGCAAGGCAGAGAAAAATGAATTGGGTGCCCTGAACTAATGGGATTCAGATGTTTCAAGAACCTTCACTTTCCTTGGCAAGCCCTCTCTTTCAAAGGAAACTTTGTCTCCTTCAGCTGCTGCAGCTGAAGAAAAGACAAAGCACAAAATCTAGGACATGGTATGAAATCAGAGCCGTTAGCACTGCGATTGCAGAGCATTCATTACCGTCCTGTAAACGTGCTGCACTGGAAGATGCTGTCATTACCAATGTTGATGAGAAATGCAGCAGTGTGATGACCACCTCATGCAAAATACACTTTTCCCTTTAAGATTTTTACAATCTTAAATCTTGATCTGCAGTTTGCTACACCAATATAGTTGTGTATATTGGTGTAGCAAACTGCAGAGATTGTTTCAGAGGCTGTATACAGCCTCTCTGGCTTTACATTTATGTGGCAAAAACACAGTCCAAATTATTTTGTGGTCTGCCACCCCCCCATCCTTGTCCCTGACTTCTGAGCCTGTTGGTTTGTGTATAGAGAGAAAATTATTTGGTAGTCAAGGAGCACATATTGAGCACTGTGATTCAGGAGCCCAGCCCCTTAAAGACATGAGCTTCAAAGAGCAGTACTTAGCATTTTCTCTAATTCAGATCCTTTAGAGTACTTTGTGTTGGTCACATTCAAACTAGGGCAGCTAAAATTATACTTGCTTTTTTAAACAAATATAAATCACTGTATAACAGCAGGATGCTCAGACTCCAGCCCACATGGCATCAGGGTTCACAGTATGCACATAACAGAAGGCAAATCTGGGAGCAATCTCAGCACGCTTTGCTGGTATCATTATACTGCATACGTGACCCAGACGCCATCAACCTGCCAGCGCGGCTGCGGCGTGCCGGCCATCTGCAGGCAACCGCTCCCCGCTGCAGCAGCACAGCTCGACCTTGATGATTGCTGGAGCCCTAATTCCTCTGATGACTAAAGCAAACGAGCAGTTTCTCCATGATGGAAGGCTGTGAGATGTGCCGCTCCTTCTGAATTACCCCACTTCTCTCCAGAGATTTATAGATGGGTTTGACACGGTTACAGCCATCATTAAACATATGAAGTTGAGGTTAATAACCTCTACTTGCTCCCACTTCTTTGTCCTGCCTCTTCAAATATAATAAAAATATAACTCTTTCATACTACAAGTCTGTGAAATGCTGAGCAGATTCCTGTTCTCATTTGGTTCCCTTAAGCACTGCAAGAATATTAATAACCCTAATAGTGGAGTTGATTCTTATCTCATTTTCAGTGATCTTCCACCTGTGTAATGAAATGGTAATTTATACTAGTGAAGCCAATTGAATTAAGTTTAGTTTGAGTTGAGTTGAGTCATTATGATTTACACCTTATAAATGAAATTAAATTAAATTCAATCTCTCTCCAATTTTTCTCAGCACATTGCCTTTTGGCTAAATCTAAGAGAAACAGAAACTGAGCAAAAGCTGATGTGATATCTTTGCATACTGGTTAAGTACCTAGATGCACGTGGAGCAACACACACAGAAAAATGTACCCTGGTTCCACAGCTGTGAACATTACAGTGGCCAACACACCACTGAAATAAAATACAATGGGTACATGTATTTCCCAAAACACAAGCAGTGCCACTGGGAAAGCTGCTTTAGCTACTTGCTGGGTGGCAGATACCCTCCATGCTGCTGTTGCTGTTACAATGCCATTTGTCTGCTTTTAGTCACGGGTGTTGAAACTTGTTTGCAGGTGAAGCCTTGCTAGAAACAAATACCATTGTGGACTACATCTACAGCTCCCCATCCCTACGGTGTGTACAGACAGCACACAATATCCTGAAAGGTAAGAACCCAAACAAGCAAGAAAAGCTGCATTCTCCTCACTTTCTGATAAAAACAATGCAAACCACATAAAAAGAAGCCTGGCACGGGAGACCCCAGTAAACGGTAATTTAGGGTGAGGATTATTTCCATGGAAGTTTACTTCCCATTAGCACAACACTGTCCAGAAGGAGCCCTTTTCTAATTGCATAGTGTGACAAGGGCTTAGGCAAGTGGTGTGCTGGCCCTAACACCAGCTGCCGGTCAGGGCTGGGTTTATTGCCCACCCTGCAGAAGCCAGATGTGTGTTCAGGATGGGTGGACACATCCAGCTCATCATGCCCTGAGTCCTCTGCTTGCTCAGGCTTCTGCAGCTGCTCATAGCTGCATGCTCCCATAGCAACTGCTACCCCCCAAGAAATTTGCTACCCTAAGTTAGAGTAATTTAGTGCAGAAACTGGGAAGGGAAATAGTGATAGAGGCATGAGATGACCTGGCATTGGAAACAGTTGAAAAACACCTCCAAAATACAGTCATGCCTAGGTTCAGTATATTGCATGTATATATGGTACCAGCCAGAGGTTTACATTCCCTGGCATATCATATGCCAAGTACATACATTAAATACTTCATCTTTCATACCTACTATTAAACAACTGACTCCTTAGACAGGAAAAAAAAATAATTTACAATCACACTGAAGTATTAAAGCTGCAAAGTCTTGCTGCCTTCCTCCCCAGCTTCTTTCATTGATATCTGGTCTCCTTTCTTCCTTTTCCAGGTATGCAACAAGAGAACAACCTGAAAATTCGAATAGAGCCAGGCTTGTTTGAATGGACCAAGTGGGTCTCTGGGAACACTCTACCTGCCTGGATACCCCCCATGGATTTAGCTGCAGCTACTCTAAGCGTTGATACAACCTACAGGTAGCAGAAAGGGGGGTGAGAGGGTCTTACATTGCTTTTTGGTTTTGTTTTTGAAGACTTAACACTCTGATGAGTTTTAAAATTTAAGCAGTGACTGGAAGAGCTGCTGAGGCTCCCAGAATAAACTTCGAGCAGGCTTGAGGCTGCTGTGTTGAACGTGACCTGAGAATGACTTATTATAAACCAAATTTCCCAGATCACTGGCAAAGTCCAGCTATATTGCTGATCATAGACATCCTTTTTCCAGTACTCTTTCTGTCCTGGGAATTTTTCAGGTGCCCAGGAAACTCTCAAAGTATTTTTGTTTGTTTTAATCCTTTTCCTAAAACTTAGGAGTTTGGGCTCAGCTAACAGAACTAGTTTTGCTGACTCAGTTCCCTTACCATCACGTTCACACACTGAACCAAATCCTGGGCTTATTCACACCTGCCCTTCCCTTCCCCAGAGAAGAAAGTTTGTCTGTCTCTATTATGATTGGCTTGGTGATGGATCTTAATTGTAAATTTTACATCATGCTGGAGAACATGTTTACATCTGTCGGGAATTCAGGGTCTCCTGTGACATCAAAATTCAGAGGTTTCCTGTCAAAGAGCTAAATGCTAATCATTTATCACTTCTCAGCAATTATATCTGAGAAGTTTTTAGTGTACAAAATTGCAGGTTTCTAACTGAAGTTTTCATGCTATTCAACCCAAAACCAGTTGGTGAAAGCAAAGAAAGTAAGGGTCTTGTTAAAAAAACATTTGAATGGCAAATGTATAAACACCACTGATCTTTCCTGCCACTTTGCAGAAAAGGGAAATGCAAAGATAATTCACTCAGCTTTCAGGGGCGCTGACAGAGCCACTCCAAAAGCAGAGAGCTGACCTTCCCAGAGCTTGGCATCCTTGCCAGCCACCCCTGTGCCTGCACAGACCAGCCCTGGTGCCTGGTTAGGCTCCATATCCCAAACTCGCGCCCTTGCTGCCAGCCTCTGCTGCTTTCCTTTTATCCAGCCACATGGCCATACCTCTGCATTCCCAGTATCATTGCCAACAAACACAGTGGGGCTGCTGGGAGCAACCTACAGCCAGAGTCTGGAGGGAAACTCAAAACTGTCTCCTCTGACTCCCCAGTGAAGCATCACAGCCACTCAGCCCAACACACAAATGCTTTTTACTGTAAGCTACAGAGAGAAAGGCTAAATAAAACCCAGCAGAAAGAGTCATGTGGCAAAGAATAGACAAGATGATCTGTTCAGGCTTCCTCCTCTCAAACTTATGATTCATTTATACAAGCTAGACTCAAAGAGCTCCCACAAAGAAGGAAACTCCAAAAAGGTCACACAGTTCCAGTTCTCCACTGCACCTCACTGCTGAAATACCTGTATCACTATGACTTCTTGCAGAGACTAGCCCTTTCTTTCTTAGTGTGAGCCTGATCACTGCCTGAACAATCTCAGATAAAACCAAACATTTATAATACACACATAGTATATATACACAGGAGTTCCACCTACATGGTCTTGGTGACAAATATTTGGTGGCTGGGGTTTTGTGGTTTATTTTATCACCAGAAACACTTAGTGTTTCCTGGTGTCTCAGTGCACCTGTGTGTTTAAGCACCCTCCAGTGGAATAAGCAGTCGAAGCATTAAAAAGAAAAACAAGAAGGAAAATGTAAAGAAATTTTTTTTTTTCATATCTAATTATACCATAAACCACTTGCATTGCATCCTTCCAGTCTGCAGCTAAAATTCCTACGCTCACAGGGTATCTCAATAGAATATACTGTATTTTTCTCTGAAAGGGTATCACGTGGCTAACACAGGAGAGTCTCTGCTTCAAAAAATACAAACCTTCCAGGAAGACAATAACGAATATTCTCAGCACAAGAAAAGAGCCTGCTCTTGTGTGCTCAGCTGGTTAGGTGGGGGTCTAGGTGACAGCCCTCCTGGTGCCTGTCTTCTCTCACAAGGGTAACTCCTATAGAGACATCAGATTACTGGATGGAGGGAAAAGTCAGGTCTTTTCCTTGCACCACAGCATGAAAATACAGCCTTTTGCTTCCTATTCCTTTCTTCTCTGCACATCAGCCTACTCAGGTGACAAACTGGCCAGGCAATGCATTGAAACGCCCGGGCCCAGAAGGAGGCCAGCCAGTTCCAGGCATTTCCCAGCAATACAGCTTTACAGATGGCCAAAGCAGCAGTTTGCCTCTGCCCTTCACCATCAAAGCATGAGCAGCCAGCATCTGCCTTCTCCACGCTCCATGTTTCTCCCTGTGTCTGCCCAGACTCCTCAGACAGACACAGATGCTGCAGCCCACCCTCTCAGCAGGCTGGAAGCCGTGGTAGCACAGTGCAGACCTCAGTCTGGCAATGACAGCTCGGGCAGTGGCTCGTCATACTGCTGGGACCGCCTGTCCGCAGGCAGCTTTGTCAACACCATCCTTGTCCCACTGTCCCTTCTGGCTCACCCACTCCTGCTGGGTACAGATTTTGTTCTCCTACCACTCACTAACTTTATATGGCTGAGTGAGCCATATAAATCTGCTGATCAAGGGACACATGCCTAAATAAACACCAAGTGGCATCATTATTGCTGCATGCCATTGCAAAAGTAACACAGATATAATCAGCAAGTCATATGCTGCCTCCACTAACCGGTCCACATTAGAGGAAGCAGTTATCATCTTCCCAGCTAACTGAAATGTCTTAATGCAGGAATGGCAAACATCTCAGTCCTGAAGTTTAAAAATCATCATAGTGGTTCTGACACAAGATGCAGTTCTGGGGATTTGGGGAATTAGAAGAATTAAAGCAATAGATACTTTCAGATAAATCATAACTTGCACTTAAAACTTTGTCTCTTCTTCCAATTTACCATACTTGTTTTTCTGCTCACAGACCTCATATTCCTGTCAGCAAGTTAGTGGTTTCTGAATCTTATGATACATACATAAGTAGAAGCTACCAAGTAACAAAAGAAATCATCAGTGAATGTAAAGGCAAAGGTAAGTGCTACAGAGGGCATGAAAAACAAGACAGGCTCTCTGGACCATGAATGATGATATTCCTAACCAGTCTTTCCCTCTTCAAGGAAGGGAATCCCCACACCTGAATCTCTTACCCCCTCTCACAGAGACATTGGAACCTCCAGGTTCAACTGTATGTGTCAGAACTATGAGCTCAGATACCCTCAGCTTATGAGAAAGGTCCACAAACTTAAGTAGCAGAAGTACTTTAGGGATTCCTACCCACCACAAGCTATTTGTTTCTCAAGGGAATAAAAAAGCCATTTGCACTCTGCTGTCTGTTCCCAGCATCGGATGGGACACCCTCCATCCCCTGTCTGAGCTACTCCTCTGAAATATATTACCCATAGAGACTGTAGAAAATTTCTCCAAACACAATATTGAAATCAAAAAATCTTTAGCTTTTATTTTTCATTCACAATATAGGAATAGGATGTTTCTAAGTTCTGGTGATTTCACTAATTTCATTTTGCTGATCCATCTCTACATTCTAAGCTTTTATTTTAATAGTTTGCACATAAACCTCTGGAGCACAGTGTGGCATTGGTTGTAAAGGGTCTTGGAAATAGAAATCTAAAGCTATCACTGTGGAAAACCTGCAACTGAAATTAAAGTGCTTGTTTTATTCAGAATTAATTTTTAGGTAGGAGGAAAGCATTTGCTTCACAAGACAGCTGAAATCTCACTGGAATTCTTGCTTTCTTCAGAAAGCCATTTTAAAACTAAGTAGCACTGAGTTAACTATTATCCTGAAAGTTGAGAAATGCTCTAAATATGTTACTGAACCATGCTTTTCCCCCCATATACACAGTTGAATGTGTTGTTACATGATAAACTGAACTGATCTCGGGTGCCAGTCCCTAAAGGTGGCTTCATCTCCCTCCTCAGCCTGCCTTTCTCACTTTATTTCAGGAAATAACATCCTGATAGTGGCACACGCATCCTCCCTGGAGGCTTGTACCTGCCAGCTCCAAGGCCTCTCTCCGCAGAACTCCAAGGACTTTGTACAGATGGTCCGAAAGGTAATTGCCACCAAGGAGTAAAGTTCACTGGCTTTACAAAGAGAAAAGAAATTTGCACTCTGCTTAACCAGGCAGAGGACGCTTTGTTCCTCTTGTCTGACGGTTCCACACATTACTGAGTTTCACCCATTTCAGAAGACAGGAGAGTAAAGCAGATTGGTTTAAGAGGCTTATCTTAACGTGTCACTTCTGTCACAACAAGGGATCAGATGCCCACCTATAAATGAGCTTACAGGGACTCTGCTTTATGCTTGTAGATACTGGGGCTGTACAGACTCCCACGGTGCTCTCCACTGCCAAAAACACCTAACCACAGTTAACAGGGCACTTCTGCCCTGTAACACTTCCCATTCTCACTTCGCTCTAAAGAGTTATTAACTGTCAGAGAAAAGGACTGAAAATTATAATGGGGTCTTCTGCCTTCATTCCTTTACTCCAGCCCTGGCTAAGGAGATGGCATTGCCCACTGCCAGCCTTGCAGACACTCTCTGGGATATTAATAGCTGACACTTGATCTGAGGAGACTTGAGCCAGAGTAGAATCCATATTTCTACTCCATTGCTGTGCTGGCCTTCAGGGTTTGGGACTATGTCAGCCAAGAGGACATCTTTGGTTTGAAATGGCCCATATTTAAACTATGTTACAAGGGTATAATCTATCTTTCCCAGTGTTCTGCATGTACAATGGTGCACAAAGTCTGTCTGTCACACTCAAGTCCTACAATCATCTTTTAAAAATGGACTTTAAGGAGAGGAAAGGAGAGAGAAGACAGTGACATACTTCAGTAGCACAGCAGGACTTCAGCCCTTAGGGGAGCTCCCACCTTGCACTGCATGATCCTTGCTCATTGCCTTTATTTCCATCTCTGTTCACACAGATTCCATACTTGGGGTTTTGTTCATGCGAAGAACTCGGAGATACAGGTGTTTGGCAGCTTACAGATCCCCCCATCCTCCCTCTCACGCATGGACCAACTGGAGGCTTTAACTGGAGAGAAACCTTACTACAAGAATAGGCAAAGCTACATGAGCAAGGGAAACCCATGGCCTTTCTAAGCATTGGAGAATGTCTCTTCTTTCTTGTGTTTATTGACAGCAGAAAAATAGTCATAATACATTCAGTGGATCACACAAACAGCTGTTCTAGCATATCTCTCACAGAGCCACAGTCATGCAAAAATTCTAATATACAACTAGGCAAATAGAAAAGGGAATGATTTGAGGGGAAAAAATATTAAAATAGAGATTGAAGCCCTTGCACAGCAGGGAGTCTCAGTTTAGTCAGTAGCTCCGGTAGATTTTCCCACCTTGAGCTCTGATAACACCAGTAGCTTTCACTGCCTTCGGTACCACATTAGAAACAACTAGCACTGTGTAAAAGTTGAGCATTCAAGATGCTGGGGTTTGGGTTTTTTTCACTATTATTTTTGCAAAGCATTAGCAGGCTCGTTTAGGACCACGTGTTGACACCCCCCTCACTCACAACGCCCAAATTCTCAACACCTTCTATAAAGCCTGTCACCACCAGCTGGAAATAAGAGTCCAGCATTGCCTCTGCAGGCAGCTTCAGATTATTCGTCTCCTCCAGGTAAGCACTGTGTCAGGGGTTGTGTTGGGCATACCATGGATGCAAAGACTGATTGATGCTGATCCACGTCAGAAGAAAAATCTGAATTTCACCAAGGTTGAAGATGAAGTTTGCATATCAAAAGACAGCACCATTGTGAACACAGACTGGGAGCAGCTTCTTTTAAGTGGAGATGAAATAAGCCTTTTCCAACCAAACCTGAAGGATTTAGAAAGTTAGGGTTTTTTTTTTTTCCTTTATTTAGGTTATTGAAATCCACCCTTGTGCAGACATAGCCTAAAGTGTTTGTGTGATTTAATTTCCTTCCACAAGACCTTGAAAAAGGGTTTTCCCTTTTATACTGAGATTTTGTGCTGGTCATTTACACAGTGGTGGCTTTCTGCCCCTTGTGAGCTTTTCCATCAGCCCTGATGGGGTTCTGCAGTAAGCAGCTTTCTTCAGGAGGTAATGATTAAATCAAAAAGACGCTGAAATTCAGCCTCCGCTGCATGCTTTGCTTATGTTTCCATAATTCCTAAGTGCCATCTGTCATAAAGACAAAGCAGAGCTGAAAAAGCGGTACTCTTAAATTAAGGAGCAACATTAAGATGCCATTTATCTGGTGGGGGAAAGGTTGTGTTCTGAGGAGACGGGAAAGAGAAGGGTTTCCATCTGTAGCTAAAATCTTTGAAATCACAAGAAGGGTCCTCTTAATGCAACAGCCTGTGAGATCCCAGTACCAGCTGCTTCACAGGAGAATGCAAAATATACCACAGTGGGGAGTTTATAGGATAAACTGGCTTCAGAGCAGGTTTCTTTTAGATTAATATTATCTTAAGTCATAAGCCTTAGGTCAAAGAGTTCCTGCAGGTGTTTGTACAGGTCTTATCAGCGTAGGCTCACTTTGAGAAGGTACTTTAAAATGTGTTTAAATGGGATAAAATAGACTTAGGTGTACTCCTTTCTTGGTTTGGGACATAAGTCCAAGTATTCCCATAAATATCATCAAAAGCAAGTTCAGAAGCACCAGGAAAGAAATTCTAGCATCCTAAGTAGCTCTCTCTGTCCAGCTTTCCCCCTGCAGAAAGTGTTTCTGTCCTCATTTGAAATGTTTGTATGGCACAGAAGCTCATGCTGCCCAACTTTGGCAAAGGCTTATTAACTCATAGCAAGATCAAAAATTGATTTTGTGTTGGTTTCTTTTAACCCATCCAGCCTTTGGCAGGACTGGTCTCACTTTTAGTAGGACATGATTGAGCTGCACTTTCAGCAGTCAGAACAAACACGGGGTGATAAACTGCAATCCCTTCTTCCTAAATGTTCCTAAATGAGGCAAAACACTCAGCGGTTGCGATGTAACAAATCTTGAGGGGTTTTAGCTCGGCTTTGTCTCTGGGTTTTATTGAGCTTGTCAGGTAGAGTACACCAGATTCTGTACAGATTTTGAGTCAGCAGAGAGCTCATCCTGTGCAATATGTACATTGTCACAATCCGTAATGATAGTCTGTTATTTATACCTTTATGACTATGTAATACACAGTAGGACATTCATAAGTGCATTATTATACCAGGGATGTTATACTGAAAAGTCAGGGAGATAATTTATGACATGACAGAAAAACTGCTCCCGGGCAGTTATACTGCTGTCACTTTAGTTTTTAAACTGTAATTTAAACTATTTTTGGCTGTGTACAGACATTATGAAGAGCATTTCTGCCTTGTTTTCCTCCATGCTTACACACTGCAAATTTGCAGAGAGTTTAAAACTAAACAGATGACAATCACACCAAAACTAATCTGGTTACTGATGCACGTGTAATTCTCTGGACTGCTTTTTGTTTTATGCTATGGGCCAGCAAGATGGAAATTGAGGCAATAAGTATTGCCTGCACAAAACAGTGGAGGATGCTCAGGTCCTACTGCAGTTAAGCTACATTACAAGGAGTTTATTTAGACAGAAGCATGAAACAGGGAACAAAACCTAAATGCACAATTTGAATATTGTAATAGCTGATCTTTGCATACAGTAAGTAACATAGAAAAGAGTGTTCCGTTTGATAAGGTAGATGTTAAAATACTCTTTTCTTTAAAAAAAAAGTATATTTTTGGATGTTTGGGAAAGTATTTTGACAATTGTAGTCTTATCTGAAATTAGATTTTTCAGGTGTCAAGGATATCAGAAAGAAAAATCTTATTTTCTTCTAGCATTTTGATTTCTCATAGGGGTTTTGTGGTAAGTAGTCTCATGCTTATTGGAGAAAAAAGAAAAAAAAAAAAGATGTTCCTTTTAAATTTTTAATTGAGATGTTAAGAATATAAAACAACTGCTGCTTCACTTTCGCTACACTGCTGCTTATCAATGTGTATTTAATGTCACTTCAGTGTTTTGTCCCAGAAGAACATTAGACTTGCTCTATCTAAAGTGTGTGTAAGTCTTTTCCTTGCCTGCACTGTGAGCTGCAGCAGATCCCAACAGTTTAATTAGGGTGTAAGAGGCAAATAGCAGTTCTTAGATTTTTCCCTCTTTCCCAGTTAAGGAATATAGCTGAAAATCTGCCAAGAATAAGTTGTTCATTCAGTATTTTCATAAACTGCAACTTAAGGGTTGGGTTAGAAAAATTCAAGAATCAAAGTGCAGAATCAAATTCTAGCACAGCAGCAGCTAATGGGATGACACTTGGCACCAGAAGGTCAAAACCTATTTTAAAAAGTTCAGGTTTGATCAAGAGTTTGTCCTTATCACTGGACTTTGTTTCTCCCTTTGCTGAAGCAGATGGGAGGGGGCTGCAGGATGCCCCAAAACCAAGGCTTGAGCTCTGCCTGGGGATAATTTTCTGGTCTAATGCACGTGCCAGATCTAAAATTTCATGTATTACCCTTACATTTAGTGCAGTGGTAGCTGCTACCAACTATTTAAATCCTTTAAGCATGGAGCCAGGTTCTCTGTGAGTGTAAATTGAGACTCTACACTCAAATCAACAGAGCTTTGCTGGTTTATGCAAACTGAGGATACAGGCCATAACTTCAGAAAAAAAAACCCAACATATTTCCCTTTTCACTCAGTCTGAAGAGTTTCAGAAAGAAGTCAGATGATGGTAGGAGCCTCCTTCTCTCCTCTGGTATTAGCTTCTAGTGTCAACATTATTATGAAAGTAATAATTTCGGTCACCAAATAAGTGGTTGTTTACAAGAAATCTGCAGGAATTATCTTTAGTGAAGGCAACACAAGTGGTAATTCTGCAAAGCAAAGAGGGTAGGAGGGATGCTAGAGCAGTGTATTATTTTGTATCCATAGCCCTGAGCCCCCCAGGTAGCAATATCTCAGGGATGTGGGTACTGTCATCTTTGACTGTGCAGCTCTTGGAAAAAAAGGTCAGGGGATGGGGAGAGGGTTGTGTACAGCACTGTGACAAACTCAGCCTCTCCGTTTCGCTCCTACGTACTGCACTGGGTATGAGGGGTTGTAAACTTTTCCCTCTGGGTCCCCTGGGTCCTTGCAAAGGCATGATCCAGAGTCCAGGGAAACAGAAAGGAAGATTTCTCATTATTTCCTCAGGCTTGGGATGAAGCTGGGTGAAGCCTGGTGCTCCACCCCACGCACCACTGACTTAATGAGGAATTTGGAGGACTCATATCTGTGTGGGGTTGAGCCCTTCCAGTCCTGATTTAAGAAATGAATGCAGAAGTAGGGTGAGATTTAGTGTCTGATTATATTGATGTTCATTTCACAAAGAGGGACACTAGATTGTTGAGTTAGGCTGTAGCTGACTAACCCTCATTTAAACTTGGAGCTGGGAATTAGTTTGCGATGCTTCACAACTTAAAATGTACTGAAATTCCCAATGAAAGTTATTGTTTAGTAAAGGAGCCTTAATAGGTTTGGTTTGTGGTTTGGTTTGGTTTTAAAAAAGAGTCTAAGCACAGAGGAAATTATTTGAACTTTAAAAATATACATGAAATTATGGTGGTAGCAGACACGCTTAAAACAGTGAATGAATGAACAGAAAAAAGAACCTAAGCAGTAAGTGTGATTGGTTGAATACACTCGAAATCGCTACTTACTTCTCACCACTTCCTCAAACACTTGTTCCCTGGGGAATATTTGTGAACCATACATGCTGCATAACAGAAAATACACAGCCAGTTCCTTTCTCCTACTTCCCATTAAAATGTATTTTCTGAAGTTTCTGTGGACATCTCTTAAAACTTGATGTTATCAATGGATACTTTTTTTTTTTTCCATTTTAAACCTGTTGTATCATTCTGTTTATTATGTTTTTCAGTGTGAGCGGATTGTATTTATTTGAGAAAAATGTTTGATGTTTAAAAAAAACCAATAATTGTATTGCCAAAAATAGCTGTAATTACCTGTGACATCTGTATTTTTTTATTTTTTTTTTTTGGGGGGGGGGTGGTTGGTTGTTTTTAATCTCAGTTTCAAGTGCTAACAACTGTTAAAACAACCACTGTATTTTAATTTGCTTATTACATTAAATGGATTTCTCGGAAGTCAGAGTAAAATGCCTCGTAGATGATGCCACGCTCCCACACCTTGCCCTTCCTATTTCAATTTTCCTCTCAAGCTGTTGGACTTTGCTGGAGTTAATATCCTGACACAGACCTTCACTGAAATGCATTGCTGGCGTGCACCTGAGCAGTAAGATGTAGGTAGGAAAAATGTCTGTACTGGGCATATGCCCAGAGAACAGCTGTATTGGGACCTGGAAACAAAGAGGGAGTCAGGGCTGCCCTCATTACATCCCATTTTGGGATGCCCACACAGATGGGATACAAGCCTCAGAAACATAAAGGAGAAAGGGGAATCTGAGCTACATTTTTCTTGCCTCCACTAAAGATGAAGTTCATTTATTTGACAGCAGATGGCACAAAATCATCTCAAGTCTGGTTTTTCATCTGCTGGAGTTTTCCCTCTGGGTTAGAGGCAGGTGGCTTCAGTCTCTCTACTGCTCAATGGCTTTTTTTTCCCCAGAGTTATTTTACTGTCAGGTTGAAATGTGTACAACTGGAAGCAAAACCTTTAAACCAAAGCAATACTTACCTTTACCACTTCTTTCTTGATCTGGATTTTTTAATCCAGCAGTAGTTTTATCAGCCAGTGAGACTCTTTCTTTTCAAACCAACTAACTACATTAAACTTTATAGCCTACAGCTCTGTTTTCCAGTAAAACTGATAATATTACGATTAAGATAAAAGCCATAACTTTTATCAATCAGATGTACACTAATAGAGTGACGCACATCCATGCACCTGAAAGTTTAATGGAAACAGGTCCTAATCAATTAGAAGTGAAATGCATAATGTATTTATAATTAACCATTTTGTCCAGTTCACTCAAACCCATGTCCTGCAAATGCACATGGTTTTTAAAACGTATTTCTTATTAAAGCCACCTTATTTTGCCAGCATTAGTCATGTGCACTAAATGTTGGGCAGTTGCAGAGAAGTGCTAGAAGATGATCTGCCAAAACCTTTTTGGAAATCAGCACCTGTGGCTACATCATGAAAAGAGGCTCTACCTACAACAGGCTTGGATAAATCTCGTGATGTTACTGGACATCACACACCCAGGAGACACAAAAACCTTTGCTATGCCCCAGATTACTGCTGAAATAATCCGACCTGCAAGGGCACATGGGAAACCCAGATTCTGCCATCCATCCTCTGGAACCTCCCTGATACAGTCATCCCTCCTCCCTGCGCTTTGGTGCTCAGCAAACCTTCCACAACCACCTCACCAATACTCTTCATTCCCTGGAGAGCCACAAACCACACGCAGCGACTTCACTTTTGTCTCATGATTTGTTTTGCCAGGATCCCTGCAAGCAGAGTAAAGCAAACCTCCCATGCACACAGTGGTACCAGATGCAGAGTGACACAAGACTTTTACAGGGATTTAAACCACACAGCTGGGTTTTCAAGCAACCTTGCCAGTTACTGCACTACAGCAGTATCCACCAAATAAGCTCTGCCTTCCTGGGTGCCTCCCCATCTTGGGGAATTAAATCCTGCCCTGTGTGGGAGCACTACAGCAGGGGTCTCTGGCAGGGTTACCCCAGGCCCATGTTTCTCTTAAGCTTTACCTGCTTCCCGCCGTGTATGTCTCTCCCCCGCACAGACACTGAGTGAGACAGAGCTGGAGGGGGTGCAAGGTGAAGTGCCCCCAGTCCTGTCGCCCACCAGTTTCATTTTAGGGACCTGTGAGGTCACCGATTTCTCAGCAGTCACCAACACACAGGAAACGTGAGATGGGGGGGGGAAGAGAGTGGAACAGCACAGAGATGGAAAGAAGGCAGAGACCCCAGCAGCGATGAAGTCATGGTAAATCTGCTCCCCCGGGGCTGAAAAGGGACCTGCTGCACAGCGGCCCCGGCAGAGAGAGGAAGTCAGCACAGACCGCCTGCACCTACCCCACAACATGACTGTCACCAGGGTACTGCACATCGCGGCTCTGCTCCTGATGCAAGGTAAGCCACATGCATTCTCTTACACAACCTCCCCTTTGCAAGCATTCCAGCTTGGAGAACTTGATTTCCAGAGATCCAGCACACCATGCACAAGGCAGCTTTGCTGCTGGTGTTTTCTTGTTGACGGTGTCAATTTCCAAAGCATGCTGGTGCTGAATTCCAACTGACTCTTGAACCCAGTATCAATGAGACCAATTCACCTCCTAGCAGTGGGCAGCATGCTTGAGATGGCAAAGCGCTGGAAAATTGAAATATTATCTCTTAAATTTGGACAGCAGATCACTGCTTACTTCCCATGGCTTGGATATCTGTCTATGCCTTTGTTCATGTATTGTGTAAAAAGAGGCTAATATAAGGAGTCAGAGTAATTTAGAAAGCTCTGGAAAATACTTTGAAAATGAAAAGCACTTTAAATTATCAATATCCTTACTCCTACTAGAGGATGTAGCTTACATCTACTTTGCTAATCTCTTTTTCATACACAGGAGAGTGTGAGAGATTCATATTTGATCATGTCAAATAGAGATTTAAGTAAGGAAAGCAGCAAGACAGTGCCCTTTAGACTTACTCCAAATCAGCAGCTTCCACTCTGAGTGTACAGTCATCCCCCAGTATTGCCACAGACTCCTGCATGATGAATTTCTACCTGCTAACAACAACTTGCTGCTCTTGGCCATCAGAATTAATTCAGACACCCACTCACAAGTCGGCAGCCACAGGTCAAAAATAACTCATTAAACAGGATGTCTCTATGGGGTACAGTTTTAAAGATAACCCTGAAATGATGCATTGAGTGCATATCACCAAGTTCTCTGTGCACTTTCAGATGACCAAAATAATAACAACCAGAGGCATTAACCATTCTGCTCAATTGCATCCTACAATTTCTAGTAAGAAATTGTAAGAATTGTAAGAAATTTCTAGTAAGAAATTGTTGCCTTTTCTTGCCAAGAAGGTGGATATATCACCATACTTGATATCAGACTAATTTTTCCAGGTAGCTCTGGCACCTAGGATCCACATGGCACAAGAACCAGTCCTGTGGAGCTAGGACAGGATTATCTCCCATACCCCAGTGACTGTACTGTGGTGGGCTACAGTGGCTTGAAGACCACAGACACATCAAACTAACCCCTTTACAAGGAAGGAAATTTGACCTGTGAGTCACAGGCCGTATGAAGCCATGGTCTCATGGAAATTACATGTATGCTCTGTTCTAGGGGCTGCTTTTTTGTTTTGGAAAAGCAATCAATCAACACTCGCACCTTTTATTGTTTAGTCTTGCTGCTCTCGCTTCAAACGGTGTGACTTGAAAGACCCCACACTGATGTTAGCAACAGGAAACCATCACTACAAAAAAAACGTAGAAGGGCCTCGTGGAAAACTGCAGACAATGCCCTTTCTGCTGCTGTAAGAATATGCACCTCCTGACACAGAACTTCACAAGTGGAACCCATGCAAGGAGGTTTTCCTTTTCTACTGCTCCTCTGCAAACGAATCCCATATGGCACAAGCCCTGAGAAAGCAGCTGAGACACTAACCCTAGGAAATGGAGGTGGACTCAAGCAGAAATACAAGCCAAAGGCACTGATATGCCATATGTGATGGTAAATCAGTTATGGCCACTCCAAGTTCAACAGGTCTTTACTGGTGCACAGCAATTCAGTTGAACCCAGCCTGTGGCAGCACCATGCAGTAAGGATAGACAGTAGATCTGTACTGCATGCTTTCTCCTTAGCTAAAGCAGCATACATCATACTTTAAAATTTGGAAGTAAAAATATTGAGATATTATAAGGAAATCTCTTCTACGAGCTTACAGACTCCAAAGATTATATAGTGAAGAAAGATAAAAGATCTATGGTGTGTTTGCTATTTGTGAAGCCCCAAGCTACATCACTGACCATTTTTCCATCCCACCTCTGGCCCAGGAAACATTAGGTGTGCTCAACTGAAGGGTGAGGCATGGCAACACATCCCCATGGAGAAACTGTCTTACAAGGAGACAAATTCCTCCTCTGATTTTAGTGGTAAAAGATCCGGTCCAGCAAGAATGCCCTATGATAGCTTTATTTCTGGTATATTTTAAAATTATTTTAAGAAAATGAACAGCTTTCCTGAAGCCCAGAAAGATTCACTTCCCCAAATTGCAATGCTCATGTACACAGTAGGAACCTGCAGTAGACAGCTACCTGGAAAATAAAATCAAAACACACAAAACAGGAATGAAAAATAAAACCCTCTTACTGACTAATTGACATAACTCTGACCCAGGCACTGCTCTTAGTAATTTCTCCAGGGCATGCTTTTTTCTGGAGAAGGTAATTCATTGCAGGTCATCAAATATTTTCACAAAGTGTATTATATACCTTAGAATGTCTGGAGAGAAAAACACACTTTACTGCCGATCTGTAAAATGAATTGGGAGGAGAGTGAAATTTCATTTTAGTAACCTGTGCCAGGCCAGGTTTGTGGATCCCATCTTTGAAAGAAGTTTCAAAGCCAGCTCAAAGCAGCTGCAGCATTGCAATTTCAGAATTAAAAAAGCCTCATTTTTCAGAGGTGCTGATCATTCACTGCTCAGTTGCACACACTTACAAATCCAGTTCAACAGCTCCAGAATGGAACACAGAATAATGACAATGTTTGCAATAACATACAGGCAGAATGTGCACTAGATGGGTCTGCTATCAATTCTTCATTGACTCATGAGGAATAATGTTCAATGAATAAATCTGGTGGTACTAGCAGATGAAGATCACAAACCTGTGGTACAAGTTCTTACCCAGCGACTATGATGACCTATCTACTGACTGGGATTTATTTATATCAGTATAATCATATTTATAAGTTTCCTAATGTAGAAAAACCTTTACACCCTTGAAAAAAAGGAAAGCTGACATATTGCTCTGTGCGAAACATTGTCACTTTACTTCATGTCACATTTTAATACTTGTTCTTTCCACTCATCTCTGGCAGGGGATTTTCCAGGAGCTGGCAGTGAAACCATAACTCTAAAGGAAGGAGAGGACCTAATTCTCCGCTGCACCCTGAGCAGTGATATCAGTTCTCCCCTGCAGTGGTTAAACCCTCACGGGTTTAGCATTTTTCTTAACACCCAGCGAGGTAAGTGTGAAAACTGAATGCAGCACTTTCCACGTGGGGATGGAGGGTCACTCCGAAGTGGGCTTTCCTGGCTCCCACCCATGGCCGATCTGACTCACTTGCTACCCAACTGCTCAACAAGGTTTTACATTCAGCCCCTTTCTGGCAGGAAGCTGATGAAATGGAAACCCCCACAAGAGTGGTCTGGCACTAGAGCTTTTAGCAATGAACTGTAGTTACTAACAGCACCAAGAAATTAGCACAAAAACCCACTCTTGCCTTACAAGAGAGACAGGAGCGGATGTGCCTGAAAGCCCTGGCTACTCTTCTCATCAGGGAATTCAATGCAGTACATCCAGAGGCAATTTTTAGAAAACAAGCAGTGATTTCTAATATGTGCTGACAAAGCCAAAGTTACAATTACTGTGTTCCCTTCCACTCCCTACATCTCATGTCTCTCCATCCTTATCTCTCCTCCTGTTGGTCCAAATTCAACAGATCTGCAAAATGAGGACTGCCTTGGCCTTCCCCATTTGTACAGTATTTAGTCAGCATCCGTGCTTGTTAAAGCCTTGAGGCTTTCATGGTAATAATGACTGGGATTTATCCAGCTGACACTGGGTACCAAACTGCCATTGAAACTGTCCAGGAACTGAGGGTCCTCTTTGGTTGCTCTGGGAATCCCAGCCACCAGGTCTTGCCACTCACATCAAACCAGCCTACTAGTATTTCCCACAAGTATTGCCAGTATTCCTAAATGGAAAATGTCAAGAGTAACTGCTGCTGCTATTTACTCAGTTACAAGAGTAAGTGGGATGAGTGTTCATTACCAATTTTAAATGATTCACACACTTTATTAGGAACTGTTTCTTGTGCAATCCAGGATCTCAAGTTCAGTACTCTCAGTATAATGTGTATGAACCATTAGATTCAAATGGGATCCAAAAAAACTCTTTGCTGAGACACTGACAGCTAATTAATATAGCAAACAGGGCTATTGCAACCCACCCTGGGCTGCTTTGATATTCAGACTTCCAAAAACAACAGCAGGCTATGGCAGGGGTTCCTCTCCCCTGTTCAAGCCTATTAGTCCATTCATGCATCCCAAGACCTAGGAGGAAATCACCTCCCCATCAGTTATCTCCATTTTTGACATAGATGCTTGTTCTCAGTATCTTACACCGTAGAGGTAGGTGAAGAGTAGCAGAAGAATTCCTCATTTATGCCAGTTCTCTAAGGCCCTGGCTACAGCCATGAACATTCTCTTTCTATGCAAACAATTTTGGACTGAGACACTTTATTCTGCCCATATCCAGTTTTAAACACCTACATCTTTTAAAGGTTCTAGTCCTTTTGATGCTTAAAGTTTTGCTGAGTTGACACAGCAATTTAATAATGTTAGGGAAGTCCACCGGTATCTATAGGAGAAGACTCTTAAGTGAACAAAGCAGTATCTGTCATAAATCACCTGAGGATTCAAGTCATAGTTTCAACATCCCACAATTCTCCTTCAGCAAGATGCATGATATAACACCCACAAGGACTAGAGTTTGCCAAGCATTTGGATCCTTGACAAGTCAGACACACTGACTACCTTCCTTTGGCAATACAAGAGAAAACAGTCCTCATTCAGAGAGAAACCAAACTTCACGCTGCACACGGACATTTGCATTTTTTATTGTGAATCACGACTGTGAACCTCTGTCATGTTGCTTCTCCAATAAACCACACCTCAATGTTTGCTTATATTTATCCATCTAGACACCTAAAGAACCCAAATTGCTATAATACCTGAAACTATCACACACAAAAATAAGACCCCCTGAAAATAAAAGCAAGAAAAACCATATCATTTTCCCTGCTGGCAGCACCCCCCCCCCCGTTTTCAGTTTACTGGAAAACATTGCCCCTGTATTAGCACAGCACCAGCTAGGAATGCTTTGTGCTAGAACATAAACAGCTGATGACTTAACAAAACGCAATAAAGAAAACTATTCTAATTCATTACTGCTTTGATTATCTGTCTTCCTCTTATGTACCAACACACATAACATCCTGGGTTTTATTTTCCTTACAGCTTTAAGAGATCAGAGGTACAAACTTACCCATTATTCAAAGGATGAATTATCCATCCAACTGTCTAATGTAACAGTGCACGATGAAGGAGTATATAAATGCTTCTACTATGGTGTCCCGTTCAAAAGCAAGAACAAGACTGTTGAGGTATTAGGTAAGTTCCTTCACCTGCTTTGTTCCAGAGGAGCAGGACAACAAAGCCAGCTCCTCAAGACCAGACCCATATTTTTGCATGCAACTGCATGGTGCTTAACACAACATAAACCTGGTCTTAGCTCAGTCCCCCTGAATAATGCTATGTATGCCATTCATAAAACTGAGTAGAAAGATATACTATAACTGATTCTAAATCTTAACTGCTGCAGCTGCTCCTTCTAATCCAATACTGGAAGTATCCCAAGACACAGAAAGAAGCATTACACTGTCGTGCTATACCCAAGGATGTAAACCACAGGCCCAGATTACCTGGCTGTTGGACAACGGGATAGAGCTCCCTGGTAAGTGCTAAAGGGACAGAGATTGATTACTAAATTTCTTATTAGCCTTGGGCACATTTAAAAATATCAGAGGGTGAAGTACCTCCTGCAACTTATCAGCTGGGACTACCATGCATCCTCCACTCATTTAATACAACTTGGCCCTCATAGGGCAGGTTTAGAGAAAAGTCAGCACTAAATTCCGGTGTTTGTGCAAGGGAGAAGGCTCATCCACTTTGCTCACATTCAGTGCAGAAAAACAACACGTGGCACCAAAATCCCTTGAGAGTCTTGAATGAAATTCCACTGAAATAAAATGAAACCAAAACTCTGGAGGCACAATTTCTAAAGCTCCAGTATTAAGTCAGTTAACAAATCCATTATAACTATTTCCATGTTTTAACTAATAGTCATATTCCTCAGCTTTGCTGAGCAGCTCATACACAAACACCAGCAGCTGCTCTCTCTCTCTCTCATTAATCTGTTCAGACCCAGGCAGCTCACCAGCAGAAACAATAAGAGGGCTCAGGAAACAGAGCCCACACCACCCTGAGACATTCCCCCATCAAAGGTCTGTGCACGTCTGGGTGGACACACATGAGGAGGAGCAGAGCCACCACATTGCTCAATTTAACTTGTGTACTATATAAATAGCTGCTTTGAAGGCCATGTTCTAATAATAACTACCTCATCAGCTGTAACTGCAGCACAGTGGAGAGGGAATACACATTTCTATCAAAGTGTGAGGAAAATACCCATAGATGCAAATATATTTTCTTTCACATATTAACAAGCTGTTATTTGCATTTTGCATCATCAAGAAACATAGTCAAAGCTTAGCCTGTAATCTTCCTCCCCCTCTAAGATGGCGTTTTTAACCAAGGGCTCTAGAGAACAACAGAGAAGCATGCTGGCCTGAATACAGCTAGAAATCAAGACTGAAGAAAAAAATCCAGGCTGCTAAATACACAGGTATTGATGCAACTGCATAAAGCCCTATGCTTAAAGGAACTGCACTCAGGGAAAGCAGCAGAGCTGGTAAGGAGCCACATGAAAGGCAGGGCAGAGAGCTGGCTGCAGTTGTAGGGGAAAAGTGCTCTGGAGCAGTGCATGGGTCTTGGAAAAGCAGGTTCTGAAGTCCTGCATGTGTCTGGGAAGAGCTGAGCTGTGTGTGGCTTGGGGGAATACCAGCTGTGAAGTTATGAAGAGCTCCAAGAAGGAATATATCCCCTCAAGTTTCTCTATACATTTTTTCCCCCAGTGTTCTAAAAACAGTTCTCCTTCAACTTGAAACAACCTCAGTTCCGGCCTCATAAAGTGTATTATTTGTAGCATCACAACACACAACTCAGACACTAAACACCTCCCACAACCCATAAAGCCAACCACAAGTTTCTCCCCTTATTTTAACAAAAACTTATATTTACCTCCACCTCCTGCTTGCCTTTGTAGCAGTCAGCCTAGAGAGCAGACCACGCCAGGGAGAGCCCCCCAGGGCCCCCACCCACCCCACAGGCACCTGGGAACACAATTAATCACCTCAGGCTTGTGCTGGGGCTGCTTAGTTGGTTTCATCTGTGGCAGGAATATTTGTATGAAGAGGTGGTGATTTCACTGTGTGGCCTGCTTGTTGCAGAGACCAATTGAAATGTTTGAAAGGGGAAAAAAATGAATTCTGAATTCACTGTTTCTCAAACTTTCTGCGTGTGCCTTTCTGTTCTGTGAAGGCGACTGTCTTTGTGCAGTACTCCTTTCTCCCCCTTCCATTCTCAGCTTTAATCACTCACTGCAAATATTTATACTAATTAGAAAATAGCTAAAACATCTTAGTTACTGGCAGCACCTCAGTTCCACCAGGGCTCAGCAGGGGCAAACGGGCTCTAATTACTGAGCTGTTACTGATAAAGATTATTTCCTTCCTAGCAAAACCACTTTTAAATCATTTTGAGCTCTTACGTGACCCTGCTGGGGATGAAAAAGAGGATTGAGGAATACAGGTCTATGTGATACAGCAAGTTATCTGTACAGGCTAATTTGGAAACAAGGCATTTATTTCATTTAAGAACTAAGGGTAACAGATCAAGAGAAAGAGTTGGTTTGTTTCCAGAGAACCTCTATATTATAAACAGACAGTAGAAATTATTGTGCCACCATGGCCATTTAAGGTAAACATCTGAAAAATCCTCCCTCTTCAGCAGGGCTATTCAAACACATCTCTTTGTGTCACACGAAACACATCTTTATTTTTTCATATTGTATAAATGAGTAGAAGTCAGTACTACCTAGAGGACTGGGAACTACATCAGATAAGTTACATGGCTCTCTAATTCATTGTGGTGAGGCAACTAATCTTTGTGTTTAATTTCCCCCAGCTGCAAAAGGGGAAGAGTCAAACCTGCATTGTAGAGATGATGGAGGACTTGCACAGGATTTCATAGGGATATATAAATGTTTATTTATTACAAACGTAAATATTGCACATCCATATTTATTGTGCATATTTATCAACATGAACAAATATTGCACAATTTCTTTTAATGTTTGGAGTAACAAATCCACAGCCATTAGGATACAAATTCAATGCCCTGGGATATCACATAGCAGAATCAGAACTTTTCTAGGTCTCAGTCATGCTGCAAAACAGCAGGTCCTTGCCCTGAGGCTCCCCACTGTGGGCCATGCATGGCTGTGGCACACAGCAAAGCAATTTATTCTGTTCAGTGAGGTCCAAAAGTGCCAGTGGGCAGTTGGGCATTTCACTGTGGTACTGCAGGGTGCTGCAGGGGAATTTCCTCACGTGAGTCATGAAACCATGCAGAGGCTTTGGGTTGAGGGCAGGAGGTGCAGCGAGGTCTGCACTTAAACTGCTGAGGATGAAAACATGACCTTGCTGCCTTTGGGCTCTGGTGTAATCCATTTACACAATGAACCGCTTGTGCAGAGTAATCAGGTGCTGGTTTAGCACAGCAAAGTAATGCAGATTTCGCCTGGAAGGTTTTTCATTAAATTGCTCTTGACTAGAAAGCACTTAAATGTTTTCTTCCAATGGGTGTATAGGTGACACTAAGCACAAGTTAGAAGCTGATGGGAAGAAATGGACCACAACCAGCACGTTGACAGTCCTCGCCTATAGGCCCAATTCAACAGCCAGCTGCATCATTCGCCACCAAGCACTAAAAGAAAAGCTGATGTCATCTTTCCGGTTTGAGGACCTACCTAGGACAGGTACTGCAGGCTCCTTCAGCAGAGCCAATCCCATTATACCACTCTGAAGTGGTGAAAGTTACACAGATACATATGCAAAGCTGAAGCCCATAGTCTACTGCCCCATATGTGGAATCTATTTTTACATGAGAGGGCTACGTGGGACAAAAGAAGAACTCCAAACTAAGATTTCATGTCTTTTTCCTGCTTCTTAACTACCTTAAAATTCATTAAACTTTAAATCACAGCAGCCCAGGCAGGTCAGTTCCCCAATGCTGCTGTTAGAATTCGGGTGATGTTTGTTCTAAAGCTTTAAAGAGAACCCAAAGTTTATGTTCTCAAAAAGCTGTGAGCTTCCCATGTCCTCTGCGTTTTAGACACATCCACCTGGAGAACTAGCAGAGTGTAAATATTGTAAATTACACTGAAGCTGCTTGTCTAATAATTCTCAGAGTAGAGTTTGCCTTCTGCCTAGTTACTCATCTTTAAGATGGATCTAATTATTCTTACTTCATTCTTCCTTAGATTGCTTGATTCAACAAATGCTTATAAATGCTCTGAAATTTGTTGGGTTTTTTTCAGTAACAAAACCAAATCCTGCACCAGCTGTGCTAGAAGTGGATACACGTGTCTCTGGGAACAAGCAATCTACAGGTAGGCATTAACTGCTTGGCCTCTTTTTAATTAATGCACAGGTCAGATACACACAGCATCTACCACCAATTGCTATCAGCACTGAGGGATATTTTGCATAGCCTTCAGAACCACTTTGGTTTTTTCCCCAGTGACCACAGCAGTGCCAGATCTGAGCAGCAGCACAGCCTCTGCTCCAAGCTACTCAAATCATGCTGGTAAGGGTTTCACTTTCATTTTTTTCCTCATTTCATAGCATTAAATATATTCAGAGGACAGGGAAGCTGAAGGTGGGAGGGTAGGACTGTAAGTCTAACTACTGATCAGATAGAGCACCCAAACAGTCCAGACCATGGACTATACAGGGCAGGTTTTGTTTTTCAAGGATCAGTTCAATGGCAAAGTATGTCTTTCTGATTTTTGTCTTGTGTTTGCGGGGCGTTTCCTTTAGGATCCGAACAACCAGCAGTCCCTTCTGCAGCACCAGAGGATCCAGTTGTTATCAGTTCAGTGTCAACACCAACCCAGCAAAACCTCCAACCAGATGTCACAGCTACTTGTAAGTTTGATCTTAGTTACATGAATCTACCAAACCAGGACAGAAATGCTACCAAGAACAGTGTTACATTCCACGTTACAAATAAGCATGCAACATAAAACACAACGGTTCTTGGTTGTGCAGGGACAGATAGTTTTACAGCCATGAAAGCAGTTTTAAAGTCTCTCTTGTTAGATGCAGGAGAGCTTCAGCATTAGCAGCAGCAGCCAGACCAGCCTCTTTCACAGCACGGTGTGAGCTGGGATGGCTCTGGACAGTTGCACTAGGTGGCACTGTGCAATAACGGTTATCTGTGCACACAGCAGGCTGTGGGTTGCAGTTATTGAACTGAGTTATTTCCAGCAGAATTAAGAGCTCCAGGGCCCAAATCGGTTGGCCAAAACCCACCAAGGTGGGTGCACACGCCTGCTTAGTGTGACAGGCCCTGCAGTGAAAAATCAATTGTTTTAGAAATACATTAACTCTTTGTTTATATTTGTTTAAAAGTGCTACATCAGTGATTACAAACATCACAGAATGGCTACATCCCGATAAACAATTCATACATATGTTGATAAACATACATGGAGAGGGAGTCTGAATCTTTTAACAGGACTTTCACTAGGTGTGCTTACATACCCAATAAGGAAGGAAATCTCTTATGAATATAAAGGTTTGGTAGACACAGCATGCATTATCATTTTAGCTTTACAAATCAAGGTTAATTATACAAGGACATGTTGTCTGTGTGTGTAAGAAAGTCAGAGCTCTCCTCTCTGTTTGCACAGGGTCCAAAGCATCACCAGCTGCAGCAGGAAAGGAAGAATTGGCTGGTTCATCGAGTTACCATGTTCCCAATGGTACGACCTTACACCATCAGACATGGGTGGCAAAGGCAAAGGATGGAGATTCTCACACTGAGTGACTGCACCACTGTGAGCTATGAAGACAGTAAATGAGTAGTCAGGAATATGAATACCAAAAAAACCCCCCACCTGCTTTAAGGAAAAGGATACATGCTCATTCCTGGTTTTGCAAGCAAAAGAAGCAAACTCATGGACAGGGAAAGCCCCAAAATGTCCAAAGAATCAAAGCTCAGCTTTGTTTCAACTTGGCTGTAAATGGGAATCGCTGAGTTCAACAATGTGTAAGAGACTGAGGATTTTCTGTTCATAAAGCTTAGGTAGTCTTCAGATTAAAACCAAATACAACGTTAAGGAATTGAGCACAGAGCTTTATGTCAAGGGCTCCTGAAGTCCCTTTCTACTGCAATACCAGGTGCCCTGGACTTCAAAGCTGCTGAGAAAATATGCATTTCTGAAGCATCCCTTCAGAGAAACACTGTTCTCCTTTCCATTTCTCCAGGGACTCAAACAGCATTCAATGGCAATGTCACAGAAGAAGAACTTTCCAGGACAGAAGCCCCACTACCAAGTGAAAATGTAACTGTGATTTCCATCATCACCTTTGGTACGAACTCTTTAATGACAGCTTCCAAACATGCAACAAGCTTTCTTGCACCAAGCTGGTTCTCTCTGACCATGTACCCACCTCCAAACCTTTTGTCAGTACACTAGAGTAATGCTGGCTTGCAATCTTGGGGAGAGACCATAGAAACACAACCATTATTATAATCTAGATAAAAGATAATTTATACTGTTTGTTGTACCAGAGCATGAGTCCACTGATTTAAATTAGTTTTTCTTGTTTGTAGAAGAAGAAAAAATTTGACCTCACATCCTAAAATTAAGTCCAATGAGGTGACTTCTGCTCTTCCACCATGTTCCTCTAGCCTGGTCTATCATTGTTGTCTTAATTACCAGAGGCTCAGAGGAAGCTACTTAACAACACAAATATACACCTGTCTCTTTTACAGAGCAAGATGTGAAATCTGAAGGCATCAAAAAGAAAGTGAATAATCTCTTGCTGCCAGTCTTGGTGGCTGGTCTGATTTTTGTGCTGCTCATCATTGTCCTGCTTTTTATGAGGAAGCTGAAAAAAGCTCATGGAGTGTGGAAGAGAGGTGAGTGATGGCCCTGTCCAAGCAACTGCTGACACTGCTTTATTCAGAGGGGCTGGAGAACTGAGGAGCCTGTTAAGCAGAGACAAGACACGACTCCTGCAGCCAGTGATTAAATGTCCTTCTCCCATAGACAGTGACTGTGACTTGTTGCAAACAACTGTTAAAGAGTCTCTGTAACTGACAGCCTCGGCCCAAGCTTCAACTGATACAAGGTGCCACAAAAGCCAACAAAACTGTTGTCTTAAGCATGTCTTCTAGATGGCCAGGATGACTGAACCCCCATTTCATAACTAGTCTCTCAGGATGTTTATGCTCAAGGCAGACAGTGAGGAAGAGTCATGGAAAAATCTCTCATCATCTTAATTACATTTGTTTTCTTCACAGAAAATGATGTTTCAGAGCAGACACTGGAGAGTTATAAATCCAAATCTAATGAAGACAGTCCAGGCCATGAGAAGAACGGACATGGTAAAAAGCCTTAACCAACAAACTATTTCCTGTTTGAGCACTGCTACTGACCACAGCCAGAGCAGACTGCAGTCAATCTTACTGTACAGAGATATTTGCAAATTGCACATCTTAGACCTGAATATTCTAAACCCAAACCTTTCATACCTGGAGGTCCACCACAGATATTATAGTTTCAGCAAGAGTGATAAAGAACCATATAAAATTAATCATAGAATCATAGAATGGTTTGGATTGGAAGGGACCTTAAAGCTCATCCAGTTCCAACCCCCCTGCCAGCAGCAGGGACACCTTCCACTAGACCAGGTTGCTCAAAGCCTCATCCAGCCTGGCCACAAACACTTCCAGGGAGGAGCAGCCACAACTTCCTTGGGCAACCTGTTCCAGTGTCTGAAATCATTGCTTTTTATTTGATAGGTTTGACTGGATAATGACCATGCATTTACCTAGTTTCTAAACATAATTTACTGGAAGACTATTAAAAACAATATGCGTGGTATGTACCAGGAATGGCTCTTACCTGATTTCACTGCCAACAAAACATCATTTCTGCTCCACACTTGGACTTTTGTCTAAACAAAGGCAGCTTTTGGCAGGTATTGTGTAACCTGCATTAGATCACATCATGCATCTCAGATGCCCTAACAATGTCTATGAAAGAATGTCATATTTTATTGTTCTATAATGCTCTAACTAATACATATTTCAAAGCAGGTACACTCCTCCTCCTTTACAAAATCAGTAATAGATGTGTGTTTATCTTTTCAGTTGTCAGTCAGAAGTCCAACGTGCAATATCTTACAGAAGGATATGTGGAAACAACACAGAAAAATCCAAGAGACAAAAACAGTGCAGTAAGGGAGAAAATATTTGGATGTGGAAAGGAAACGGATGTATAGCAATGGCAAATCTATACGATGTGCAGAAACACCACTGTTGCCTGATATTTATGTTACAGCATTCAGATATCAATATGATTTCAAGGAGCAGAAGTACAAACATCTACCATCAATCCAAAAGCCAACTGGGACTGTTTTTCTTTAAACAGTGGGACAGGTAGATGGGACTGGTGTTCCTAGAAACCTATTAGCAAAGAACACACTGATTTACCTGTAATCCTCAGAGGATTTAGTTAACCACTGTCAGAAATAGAGCTCATTGATCTCATCTCAGGTCCTATCAGCAATTAGGGTCCTGGCAAGGGAACATGCAATTAGCACCGAGGACTGCAGTATATGAAAATATTCATGTAATGCTTTGGCCACCTCCTCTGCAAACATGGGACTGAGCAGGAAAACCTGGGAGCTGCAAACCAACTGGGACTTGTATTGTCTCATTCTGACCCCAAACCTGGGCATCCAGCTGTATTTAACTGAGCAGGAAAGCATCCTGATGTCCAAAGTGTTTTTAATAAAATAAAATAAAATAAAATAAAATAAAATAAAATAAATTGCTATGACTTCTGCCTCAGTTTCTCACCTGGACAATGATAACATCATGCTCTGCTTTGCAAGGCTGCATCAGCATCAGTCTGCAAGGAGCTCTGAAACCAAAACATTTGGGTGCTACAATTGTACAATCTCCCATATCACCCAAACTTACTCGGGATGTTCCCAGGGATGTGGAAGTCTTCAAACAAGGGTTGGCAAAGGTGAAGGGCATGGAGGATGCTACACATGGGACTCCCCAAACCCAGGGACAAAGTCACTTGCCTGCCAGCAGACAAGCTAGGAGAATTGCTGAGACTTTCCATCTGCAGAGCTCTGCCACGCCATCCCCGGGAACCTTTTCTGTTGCAGGAAGATGAAGCTGAATTCCTAAAATACAGAACATTCGCGTTACACCAGCAAGCTGTGGTTCGTTTTCTCATTAGCGATTGTTATTTCTCACCAGAAGTAAGGAAAATGCTGCAAACCGTTTCTGAATACCCAATTCAATATTCAATAAACGCCCGTGAAGTGACCGCCAGGAAT